CTTGAACAGGTAAGTCTACGATAGAAACCTCTTCAAGATCTTCCAACAAGAGTTTAGGCATCCTTTCAGAGCTAACGAGCGGAGGGGGCTCATCCATTTGTGAAAGACTTTGTTAGTAGGTAGCCTAAAAAAAGTCCTTGTCAACTTAAAAATGACAAAGAACTGGGAGAGTTTGTCACGTTCACATACAGACTTGGAGATAATGTCAGTTTTAGAGCAATGTTCATTGCTATCCGGATGACTTCTTTTCCAAGTTAAGCATTGCTTATTTTAGCAATACTGTCCCTGACACTTTGGGTAAGAGAAAACGGTCCATTTTTACATTTTGTGAACTTTTCAAATGTCATTTCCTGTTGCGAGCTCAGATTTTTTTAAACTCAATATAATCATTGATTGCTTTTTAAATGAGTTGTGATTTGCTAGGAAAATACCACAACAACCTCATGTTAAAGAACACTAACTTGGATGAAAAAGAAAATAATCTGACATGTTATTGGTGTTTGCAAACTGCCTCCTTGCCTCCATTTTGCCTCGCGCCCCCGTTGCTTTTCAAGCCGGACCGTTCCAAAGGCCCACGTCTAAATTTGTTCCCTCGTGCCTCTGGCACCTGTTTGTGCGGCAGGGCCAGCAGGAGGCCGGCGGGGCGGGCGAGGTGGAGCGAGGAGGCGCGGGAGCAGGTGCGGCCGGGGCGGCGGCGGCCGGCGCTGCCACGGCGGCGGCGGCCGGAGCCACGCCCAGCCCCGGAAAGCAGCCGGCCGGCGGGGAGCGCAAAGCCAAGAAAGAGGCGAAAGACAAAGACAAGTGTGTTATTTTGTAACATCCAGCGTGCCGGTGTGAGCGTGTGTCGGTGTTCTGTGCATTTGCTTATCTGTGTGAAAGGAGAGGGCCTTCGCCCCTCCGCCAACTGGACACACCACGTGCAGCAGCTACTTGAGGACAAACAAAGGGAAGGGACGATACTAGCAGAGGATTGGCTGCTCCCAAACCACTGGTGCCTGCTATCCTCCATCCTCAGTGGAACCTGGACGTCAGAGGAAGGGACACTACGATAACAACAACTACCCATTCTCTTTCACAGAGTCAGCCAATCTTTGTTACAAGTCGCACATGCACTATATATTTGTGACGTGGGGTCAAATTCATCCGGGGTAGTGCATTTTATAGAAAAAGGAGATAACTTAAAGATACAAAATATCACCCTCTCAGAGTGTTTGTTTTTTTAAAGATAGTTTTTCATTTCACTCGGTTTTTTGTTTTTTTTTACTCATGCAGCTTATAAGCTTATTTTGAATCAATATGTACAAAACACGTTTAGGAAAACTTGCGTTCTAGTTGAATTTCTTTTTGTCCGTCAGCTGCCAAGATTCATGTTTTATTTATTAGTCAGTATAACAGGTTGCTTTTGGGACAGATTTAATGTTTTGTTTTTGTTTTATTGTCTTCTGTAAGCCGAAAAGGGATTTTTGTTTCTTCCCCCCCCCCCGTCTCTTGGAAATCAGTGTAACGCCACTCGTGTCTCCTCTGAAACGCTACATTCTGAGGGGTAATGGATGCCAGACAGCTGCCACACACTGTAGCTACGATACCATACTAATCACAGCTTGCCCTGTTCAGATTTGCCTTAGCAGAGTATGGCACTGTGTGTGTGTGTTTGTGTGTGTTTGTGTGTGTTTTTACTTTTTTTTCTGCTCCGTCTGAATGGGAATGTGTGCTGTTTTTTTCCACGTATGGTGAAGTAGTTGAGCTGCAAATTTCATACACGTAATGTCTTTTTTGTTATTCTTCATCATGAAAATCTTTTAGTTTTTTAAAATTTGATTTACTTTTTTTTTTCTTTATAGCTGTATCTGATGTTTCTGTTCCAGCAAACAGGCTTGTGCAGATTAGGATTGCGTTCAATGGCAGTGAATGGTAGCTGGAAAAGGCCCTTCTTGTTCACACCGACTCTTCTGGCAGCTCTCTGAAACGATGCAGTGTGTTCGTGCAGGAACTATCATAATCTTGTCTCTCGTGGATGTGCAGGGAGGGGATAGACTCCAGGAGAAACCAGAGCGTTTGAGCCTGGGGTTCCATTCAGTCCAAGTCTGTCCTGAGCCATCACCTAAGTTCTCAGTAGATGGGAGTGGCCTTGTAGTATGAAAATGGTGACTCAGCTCGTGCTCTTTGCCACAAATCGTCAAGCCACCAAATAAAATAATAGAATTTAAAACGATGCCCAGATCTACAGACTTGTGAGTGTGCCAAGCTGGCCCCGTAGAGTTTTTTCATTTGGTCTGTCACTTGTTCATTTCTCCTCTACAGCTCAGTCACTCCACAAATCTGCCCTAGCGCCGCAGATCCCACCAGGCTCAAGTGGAAATTCACCTTTTTGAGCTCTTTCTCAGTAGAACTTGACACAAGTCCTGCCGCCATCCTCAGAAAGGGCTACGTTTATTTGGCATTGATGAAAATTGAGAACCACACACGGCGGAGCTGTGCAGAATGCACATTCTGAACTCCGCCTCACCTTCAGCCTGTGAGCATTTCACCGCCACATTGAGCATGCAAACACACGCTGGACATATTTACCCTCTGCTTTCTTGTAATGGATTTAGCTAGTGGCTTGCCCCACGGGACTGCCTCCTGAGACACTTTTGATCTATACATTCCATTTGGATGCCTTGACTCGAGCCCTCTGTTGCCCACTGTGGAGACAGTTGCCTCAGAGGGTCTCTGCAGTGTTTGTAAAGTTGTCTCAAAGACTTCCTTCAGTCAAATCAGATTCACCGGCGGGGCTTTCGACTGCGTGGGGGGGGGCGTTCTTCTGGGCCTCGCGCGGTGGAAGGAAGTCGAGCTGCGAGTTCGTTTGACCCCAGCAAGACTGCGTTTTGTACATATATATATGTAAAGCCTTACAACATTTCAACGTGTTTTATAGGACACAAGGAAACAGGCGTATTAGCAGATTGAGACAATCCATACATTTTCCACATCAGAACTACTCTCAGGCCTTTTTTTGAAGGGGACTTCTCCCTTTTTGAAATGGTATGCATTTTAAGGGCACAGTTCCCTGGCCTGCAGCCACTACTTTTAAGTATCTGTACATCTGTGCACACACACACACACACGTACACAACTTTGACACTTTGATCAGCCTAACACTATGTTATTAAAGAGCCTAACTTTTGGACTGCACACTAAAAAAAAGCAGCGTCATGGTTTGTTGTTAGCCAGTCGCACTTTTCACCAACTTCATAGCATTTTGATTTTCTTCCTAAATGAAAACGTCAAATCAAGAGGTAGAAGCGAGACGACATACTGGAGGTGCTCAGACATCATTGTGATTTTTTTTTTTTGTTCGCTTTTTGTTTTGAAATCCCATGTGTCCGCTCATTAAATTGATAAAGATGAAACATTCCAGTAGAAGTTCAATAGTGAAACTAATCGTAGGGAAGTTTGGAATGATTTTATGTTTGTATGAAAGCAAAGAGTGTGGAGTGCCATGCCACTTGGTTTTATTATTATTTCAAATGTACTCCTGTGCATTAGTTCACTGTTCCCAGTCATTATTACCAGAATCTGATATTTTTGTTGTGATGTGTTTGCTTCACCGTGGGTTCCTATGATGACCTGATCAGAAGGATATTTTGTGTTTGGTGTCTCAAAGTGGTTTCTTGTTTGCCTTGTGAAAGTGATGGTGGGGTAAATGCTGTAAAAAATTAGTATTTTAACAAGGTGATCGTTGAACATTTAGTTGTTGTAATTGGTTTTGCACTGTTACATTGATATGCACTAACAGAAAAGAAACATACCTCATTTTCTACAGAACATAAATTGTGCACGAGTGCTATTGTTTTTGGGTACCTTTTAAAAGAAAAAGGAAAAAAAAACAACAACACCGAATACTGGCCAAATTCATCCTCATGTTGATATGAGTGGCTCTGAAGCCCTCTGAGGAATATTAGGTTCATCAAAGTATGAAAGGGCTGCTCATATGTTTTGGCCTCAGTTGAAAGAGTTCATTTTTCAAAAGTCGTACCGATTCAATAGAACTTGCTGCAATCGAATATACTACTCAGGTTAGCGGTACACCTACACCAGTCTAAAGGCTACCAGTGCAAACGTCTTCACAATGAGACTTCAAGTCAATAGAAAGGACAGATTGTTGCCAGCTGAGCAGCTTTGAAATATGCATAAATATATATATATATACACATCTATATGGATGAAGGCAAATTGAAGGTGGAAATCTGGTCCTTAATTCCATCAGCACAAAAACAAAACGATGTAGGTGTACTCCTAATTTAGGTAGTTCTTTTTCCTGTCTGGTCCATCATTTAACTACACGATGCTTTCATAAAGGGAAGTTAAGCTTAAAGTAAGTGGGGTGGGGGTGGGGGGGTGGGAAAGGAGTGCTTTATCAGACTTGAGTGTTTCATGTAGCAGAGGGAAGCATTCAGTCTTGTTGTGTGAGACACATCCCGAGTGCTGAACAATCTAAAGGGAGATCTTTTCTTTAATGCAATATCAACCTCCCAGATTTGACTTTGTGAAGCATGTGTAAGTGTGGAGTGAAACGTTAGGCACAATAAAATTTTTATCAACTTCTTCCCCAAGAATATCATTTCCACTGTACGGCCTGTTATGTTTATATTTCACATAAACAAGAAAAAGGAACGTGTTTGTGAATATAGGAAGTTACTCATTTGTGTTGATTTCATTGATCATCTATTTACTTAAATGACCAAATAATGTATGTAGCCTTTCACATTACAGTCACATATTGTATATGGTGATTATATATATACATATATATATATATAACAAAATGCCTTATAGACGAGGGACGTTCAACCTGAGTAGAAGTTTCCTGGTTAATAAAAAGAATACGATCAATAGCATGTTTGTTGTTATTGTTGCCTCTAAGAGAAAATTCAAGCCTTTACTTTTTGCTTTTTCTTCACCATGAAAATGTCAAGCACCAATTCTTCCTTTGAAGTGTTTAATGTTAGGCAAGAACAAATTCAAATGTGGGCACATCTTTACTCTGGAGGCTCAAACGGGACGACCGTTGGATACTAATTAAGTCTGACTGACCTTGGGAGGTTTTCCGGGCAGACCTGCATCTGGTCGCAGTCTGGACATCAGACACCGAAGAGTGGACATCAGACACCGACGGGAGCGCAGACCTCACACAGGATCAGACAAGCGCGGCTGACATCAGGGTGCGATTTCATTTTAGCAGAAACTAAAACAATTTGATCATCTTATGACCTTCCAACCAAGACAGACGTTGAAGATAGAGAAATATTGCAGGTTTAAGATATTTAAACTTTGTTTCCAAGGACATCTGACAGCACATAGCGCTGTCATTTAAAACGACCAATGGGTTGAAATGAGGCCATTGCAGTCTGACTCCCGTACAAAGTCGTCGGTTTTTGGTTCTTTCGGTAAATAAAAATGAAACAATCGAACTCAGTCTGAATCGGATACTTTCTGAGGACAGAAGGCTTCACTTGTCTGGCTGATGGTGGTGTGCACCACAGGGCAGATCTGACCTCACAACCTTCCTCTCATAAGGTTTAAGCTCCACATTTGTCCAATTTCCACTGCTGAACAACACCTGAACTAGACCTGAAACCGGGCGGTGATGTAGAAGGACAGTTCAATTCAAAATGTGAATCCAGGAGTTGGGTTTCAAGTCATTATACCCATAATTAAACAATTAGTCCAAACTCAATCAAGTGACACTTGTACTTTAATTAAGTTTCAATGCATTACAACAGATGTTGTAAGAGATAAGTGAGTGGGAATACATACAGAACAGTTTGGGTTGTTCCAAATGTCAGGACTAAGAAGCTGAACAGGATTTCAATTGCGTGGAAATAAATGGCATTGAAATGGTTGAAGTGTTAGAAGTACCTCCTGATAAGTTTGTTGTCCGCTCAAAAGCGGCAGGTTTCATATTTCGTGTTACATGTTTCAGGTTCAAACATTCGACATGCTTCAACAAAAGTATTTTGTGCTTGTATGAGAAGTTCAGCGATCCAAGAAGAGTTCCCAAATGACCTGGGCCTTAAAAAAAATAAATAAAGACCACTGTAAGCTAAGAAATGACTAGCATTAACAGCCTATCAAATGTCCAGAATGACTGGAATAATGATGAACAACTGTAAAACCCAAGAGTTATGCTCTTCTCAGGCCATCTGACTCCACTAACAAAAGCTGAAAAGGCTTCAGACTATTTCTGATGCAGACCTAGGTAAAACTATAGTTGCGTCCAACAAGAAGCTGGATTTATACAGCCTCTTTTTTTATTTGTCTAAGCAAATTCAAAAAAACTTTACACAACAGGATATCAACACAACATATGACTTCCGATAGCAAAAAAAAAAAAAAAAAGAAAAAAAGAACAGTTCTTCAAAAAACAACCCAAATGAATCTTGTCAGGTCTGATTCTACAATACACTAAAAGAAGACGTATGACACAGGGAAGCTGAATTTAACACTATGCGACTGAGAATGTACAGACAAAACTCAGGAAGTCCACTTGAAAACTTATTACAAAGACCTAGGACTGTACAGTATCTTTCTAAATATTAAAACTTGTGCACAGGGTTGTTCAATGGTCACAGCAGAACTGTCAGGAAAAGTCTACAGAGAGGTAAACACGTCATCTATACATGATAAAATAGTGTTATCAACCTCATGGCCACAAAAGTGCCAAAAAACAAACAGTTGATATTGTTTTAAGAAAAAAAAGTCTTCAAATCCTCTGAAGCGTTCAAGTGGCAGAATGTGGATGCTGTTAGAATGGCCGTGGTGTTCCTTTGAAGGTCTTGAATCCACCAACTGAGCCACCACTGGGAATGGAGTTGTTAGTGATCTGTACAATCCGGCTGATTCCTGAAGAGGAGTGACTGCAGGGAGACAGAGGGTCAGGTCTTAGATTGCTGTGGGCGGGCACAGCGGTCAAGGTTCACATGGTTACTTAGCATCTGCTCTTATACCTTGAAGGAGCCATCATGCCACCTCGATTGTCTCCCATCCTGCGATTATCAGGGAAGCCCCCTCCCTGAGAGCTTGAGGCCCCATGCCAGTCCTTCCTCATCCCCGGCTCTCTGTTGTGACGCTCCACCACCACCTGCCGTCCGGAGCTGAATGGCTGCAGACACAGAGTTGCTCAGAGCATGTCCAGTTGTATTCTTTGTTATGCTACATGAACCACTGCTCTTTGTATATCGTCACTGCTTCCAGTAGGCAACTGGATCAGCATGAAATTACTAGACCAATCAGATGACACCTTTACCAGCTCCTCTCTTTCTCAGGAGCGACTAAACATGTATTATTTGGGGTTATGAAGTGTGTCCAAAGGTAGCCAGGCTTTAATAACTGGGGCTGATGGCGAATTGGCCCATATGCATCAACAACAGGGATGCACCTGGCCTCCGTTTCATTTACAACATTTGCTACCGGACAATCTCTGAGGTTAAAAACAAAACTATATTAGCAGTGCAGTCATTACCATAGATCTCCCCTCATCACGGTCATTATAGCTGCTTCTTCCCCGGCTGGCTGAGGGGCCTCCTCTCAGCACGTGACCTGGACCTTCTCTGCCAGGTCGCTCTGTACGCATTCGCATGGGTCCACTTCAAACCCAGAGAGAGATTTGATTCAGTTTAGCTTCAAACATCAGTCTAACACAGCTACATCTTATTCTTTCCTTCATACCGCATATCTCCTTTGTTAGCGTTCATCCCTCCATCATTCTTCCACCCATGCCCCCCATCCCTGGGCGGGCGGTTGTGCGACATGGCTGGCATTCCAGCTCGTGTCCCAACAGGGCGATCATGCATGGGCGCTGGGCGTCTGTCATCTCTGTCCCGACGGTCAGTGTCCCGTACTTCAGCCCGCGGAGGAGGTGGCTCGGCTCTGCGGACGGTGTCAAAGTTCTTGGGGTAGCGTTCGAAGCCCGAGCCCTCCCTGTGAGGAGTGGGCCGACTCTTCTTTACCTCTGGCTCGCCCACAAAGCGGTTACGTCTTGGAAAACAATGACCAAATTTAGGTTCAGCAAAAGGTCCAACTTGAATGAACAGAATCAGGAATAATAAACAAAAATAAATAAATTCTTGGTCTGGATATGGAGGTAAATGAAAAGTTATGGCTCTTATATTACCCATAACAGAAATAAGATTTAGACTAGGCATTTTGGCAAAACGTAGTGAATCATAAAACATTGAACCCGTTTCCTTTTAGCGCTGACGTGCATTAATGACTACTTCCAGCATCCTTGGCTTATCTTGCTGTTGGTTTGAATATGTACCTGTCGTATGTGTGGGGCTGCTGGGCAGCTGCGTCTGGAAAACGACCCCTCTCACGGGGGGCGAAGTTTGTAAAGCGGTTCTGCGGCCGGTTGTAGTTGGAGCCTTGGTTCAAGCGGACCTCAGACTCGGGGGGCATCTTCTTATTACTATTCCAAAAAGGATCCTCCCTCCGACTGTAAATGTTATACACAAACATTTCCTTGTGATTTAGGAGCAACTTTCCATTTAATCTGGGATATCGTGTCAAAGAAATCATTCTGATGGCTGAGAATATAAACAAACCTGTGTTCTGGCTCACGACCCCTCTTCAGACTATTTCTCTTTTCCTGCTCAAAACGAAGCTGCTCCTGCTGTCTCCGGAGCTCCTCACGCTCACGAGCCATGCGTTCTGCTTCTTTGCGCCTTTCCTAAAGAAGCAGATTTGTATTATTAGAAAGAAGGATATTTGATGTCTTCAGGCTATGACAACAGAAATATGATTTTTTTTTTTTACAATCACTCCCGATGAAAGGCGGGGAAAAACACAGATCTAAGATGAGGACTCCATTCTGTTGCGTAATTTTTCTGCCTGTTGACGCACATGCTATGAATTTGGAATTGTCGATATGGCTGCTAAGCAGTCCTCTGTACTGAACCTCCCATGAGGCTCAGCTAAAACTGAACACCTTTTCAAACTCTCACTTTTATGTACATTTCATGTAAATGTTCTCAAAAAATTGCTTAATATTTAGCAACATTGGGGACTGTACAGGTTAGTTTCTTTTAAAAGAGGCATTGCAAAGCCAGTTGATTTTAATGAGTATGAAAATTCATTTTCCAAAGACCAACTCCACCAAAATAAATCCAGCAAAACAGAGTGGATAAAAAAGTATTTGATATCATTCATGCTCACTCTACCTGCTCTATACGGATTCTTTCTCTTTCAAGCCTCTCCCTTTCCAGCCGCTCTCTTTCCAGTTTTTGTCTTTCCATCTCCAGTCTCTGGCGCTCCCGTAGCAGGTTCTCACGTTCTTCTCGCTCTCGCAGCAAGCGGACCCGCTCCCGTTCCCGGCGTTCTTGTTCTGCAACCTCACGACGCCTAAAGACAAAATATTTAATAGTTTCCGACATAAATGAGAAAACACGTGATCCCCCCCCCAGAGTCCACTAAACGCTTCATATCCAGGTACCTGCGCAACTCTACAGCTCTTCGGACGCGCTCCAGGCGAGCCATGCGTTCTCGCATCCTCAGCTCCTTCTGCTCTTTGAGCTTCTCAAAAGGCAAGATGTCTCTTTCTTCCCCTTTGTTTTGAAAATGTCGCTGCTGCTTCTCTCTCATAAACTCCAACTTAAATGGGGAAAAAACAAAGTTAAAAACATTTGATTCTGTGAAAAGAGAATTATACAATATGTTCAAATATGAAAAAGGTTATGTACCTCTTCAGGTGGAATCAGCCATTTTGGCCTCCTCTGAAAGTTGGTATTGATGAAGGGCTGAAAGGAAAAGCAAAAGGTTGATATCTAAAAGGCATCTGATGGCAATATAGAAGCTTTCTTTAAAAATAGAAACTGAACTACAATAAAAACCTTACTTTGTCAAAATACCGCCCTCTTCTGAAAGGTAGTCTTGGTCTGCCAAAATTTGGATCTTTGACATGATCAACCATCATCATCATCTTTCCTGGGCTCTTTGTCCCTAAGGAAGAAAAAAAACAGCACAATCAGATTAAGCACACAAATGAAAACATATTTCCTGGATAAGATGTTCTTTATATTGAGACAGCAACTTACGAAAATGCTTTCTTTCATCTTTATTCACAGATTCTGCACCAGAGTTAGATGAAACGGACTCAGATCTTCCACTATTGACTTCTTGCTTCTTGGATAAATCTTTATCTTTTTCTGACAGTTTATCAAATTTCTTTTCTTCTTTTTTGTAAGATGGCTGTGCTCTAATGGTAAACAGAAAAATAATTCAATTAGGCATAAAAAGGACCAAAAGGTGAACTTTTCAACCTTTTCCCTCACTCACTTGTTTGTCTGTTTTGTCCCCATTGAAATCCGTTTATCATTCATCTTGCTGGACCCTGCTTTGTCATCCCCTTCCTTCTTTGAGAGATCCTTTTTGAATGGATCATTTTTGGCCTAAAAGAGAAAACAAGTTAGTACAAAAGGGCTGTAGTTTCATCCATCACTACACAAAGAACTGGACCCATAGAAAGAGTCCTCAAAAACAAGTATAATACATAAGCTCCCACTGACCCTTTCAACATATATCTGCTGTCCATGCAGCTCTGTACAGTCCAGGTGGGAGATGCACCGCGTCACCTCGGCACTCGAAGACATCGTAACCAGGCCGTAACATTTTGAACCGGGGCTGCGAGCATTTGTGACCACCTTGGCACTTAAAACCTATTGAAAATATCCGACCATGCAGAGAGTAAAGTTGCTGTAACATTGCCACATACATTTCAGTTAATCGACAGCAGCACACATTTACCTTTCCATATTTGCCAAACAGGTTCTTCAGATCTGCTGCTTTGGTGTTTGAAGACAAGCCGCTCACCCATACGTTGCGAGAAGAACTACTGTTGCTGCCAACAGCTGCTGATGAACATCATTTTTAAAATGTAGTCAGTGGTGATAAGAGAATTTAGAATATAATCCTTACTGGTTTTAATGAATCTAGAGAAGTGCTTTCCATAGTTTTATGTCTAACATTTGATATCTTACCCTTTTCATCTTTTGCAGCTTTTCCATCCCTGTCTCTTGATGAGCTACAAATAAAATGTTGCAACAGCAAACAGGCAATGAGTGAAGGTAAACAAAACCATGCCACAAAATGTCAGACACACATCTAGTAGAAATAAACACAATGTTTTGTACTGCTGTGGGGGAAAAAAAGCAAAACAAAAAAATCCTTTAGGCAAGGCGTGGATCTGAACCAATGTCTCAAAGGCTTGATTGTTTTTCCAGTGGTGAGATGGGTCAAGTTGTCAGCCAATTTTTTCCCTGGACCAATGAAATCTTCAGAGGTTTGCTGAACTTCAGCGAATCATTTGGCCAAAAGAAGGGGGGGGAATCATCATGGAGTCTAATGGTGTTTTACACTGCTTTGTGTAAAAACTGGAACAGACTTTAACACTGCTGGAAAGTTCAAAGTAACAAAATAATTGTTGTTTGCTCAGCTCCAGGTTTATGTCACAATTTAACCAACTTCAGTGAAATAAATCAGAGCAGTAAACTGCGGGATTAGGTACATCAGTGAACATTTCCCTTATGGCAAATCTTGAGGCTACCCACAATGTTGCGTTCTTAGTGAGCTGGACTTGGCAGTAGTATCAAAGAACTGACATAGAAAGACAAACCTCTTTGCTTGACCCGATGCCCCAGTAGCGGAGGGGCCTTTCTTCCCAGAGTCCTTTTCTTTATCTCCGATTTCAGCTTTCTTCAGGGCGTCTCTGCCGTCTTTCTTCGTGGGCTCACCCCCGGATTCATCGTCTGTCTTACCATCCAAGTGGTCTTCCATCTCTTCCTCCTTCATGTCATCATGTGGGCTCATCTCAGCAGAGGTGTCTGGCTCATCTGTACCCTTCTCTGCCTCTGGATCTGGAAGTTTCACATGTTTACCTGTTTCCAGGAGGTCGTCACCATCAACTTCTAGGGTGATGGCATCTTCATTTGGGATTGAGACGGATAGGTGATCGTCCTCGGCTTCTTTAGAGGAAGTCATGACTTCAGGATCCATCTCGGGCACTTCAGTCTCCACCTCTGGGACTGCGTCCTCATCTGCTTCTGGCTCCTCCTCAGCATCAACCTCTGGCTCAGGCTCTGAATCCGCCTCAGCCACGACAGCTTCTGACTCTGGTTCAGTCTCAGAGAGAGCACGGCTGTCTTCACAGGGTGGAGGCTTAGAATTTTCACGAGTACCATCATCTGTATCAGTTACATCTGAGGGATTTAATAAGGATAAACATGGCAAAAACAGAACTTTAACAATGACATCTTGCATGTTACTTGACCTAAAAAGGAGAATATAATGCACATTTAGTGTTAATGGTCATCAAGGGCGAAGACACCACAGGAAGACACAAAACACACAATCTTCTGGGGGGTAGGGGGTGATTCAGCACTCCTCATATCCATAGGCACGGTGAGTATTTGAGCCATGATCTACAGTCAATGTGCAAATCCAGATGCCTCTTGAAATGCGTAGCAGTTTTCCAGATCCTTTGCAATATCGCATTTAGGAGGAAAAACGATCAGCAAATCCATCCATTATCTTCTGCATGCAAAATAGATCTGCAGCTGACGAGTCCATAAACTGTCATCTTGGAAGTCTTCCAATCCATCTTTGCTCATCATTGTCAGTGGCTTAGCTGACTTCAGATCTCGCAAAATGTCTCCAACATCATTAACTTGCTGCGGAATGTGTCCACAGAGGCCGAAAAGTGGGTCCCTTTGGGTATAGCAGCCTGCATTGGCACTCCAAGATATCTTCACATTGGAGCTGCAGTAACCTGGTTAGCTCAATTGTTTTTCTTGAGAATCGTTTTCTCTGGGCACTTGCAGCAAAATTTCCTTGAGAATTGTTTCGTCTGGTCACAGACTGGGTATCAACACAAAGTGTTGTATGGAATGTTGCTGCCTTTGAATAAAACGAAAATAAATAAAACTCCACCCCAGTCAAGAGCAGTTTCATCTTGATGATTCCTTAAAAAAAAAAAAAAATGTGCCTGACTCCATTCACAAAGAGGTGAGGTAATAAAGATCTCAGTCCACTTGTCACATGTCTGTCCAACCATGGCATCAATCACAGCATCAGCTAGGAAGTACAATCATCCTCAAACCCGTTTCCTCTTCGTTATGATGAGACATTTCACCAGGTTGTGATCTTTCACTCTTTAATAACTCATAGAATGTAGAGAACAGGGTACCAGACAGTATGGAAATCCATTGAGAAAATTGGGTTTTTCCTTTTAAATGTAGAGTTATTGGTTTTGTGGAAAATCAAGGCGGACTTCTGTGCATACCTGAGTGAGCGGCCCATAAATAAACCCAAGCGAACATTCAGAAATGCACACCATTATAAGGTGTGGAATATACCAAATGTTTGCCATCATGTACATTAGCTGAATACTTTTTTTCCCAGAAAGAAACCTTAAGTTTACCTTGGGCATTAGTTTGCCAACATACATACCCTTTTCTGATTCATACTCTTCTGTTTCCTAAAAAAAAGAAGAAAGGAAGTTGAAGTGACCGGCTTTTCACTCCGGTTCAAAGATGGAGTACTTTTTTATCTAGTAAAAATTCCTCAAAGCTCAAAAGTAGTAAATAAAATTATTAATTTCATCATCATTTTACTTTAATTTACCACTGGCCAGAGGAATATTTGTTGGAGTGCACAGATACATAATCCAGGTTTGCCTTTTATCTAAATATTTAATAGAGGAAGCTTTCTTCATAGTACACATAGAATTTAGAGCTAAATTTACATGATAAAACCCATGTTTAATGAGCATTAAGGGACCCTTTGGAAAAAAAGGACACAAAGCCTAAAATAAAATCTGCTGAATTTTAGCAAACAAAAGCAAGCCACATTCACCTTGGAAAAAATATCTTCTTCCACGGTGGTGTCCTGATCTGAATCCACTCTTTTCCCTGAAATATTAAACAGTATTTTTTTTTTAAACAAAAAAAAAAAATATATATATATATATACATAAAAAATAAAATAAGTCCTGACAGTCCAGCCTGGCTTCATAAAAAACAAAATTACCTTTAACTTTTCCACTTTTCCTGGTTGGTACATCTGTTGAAAGCTGGATCTGAATGTTCTCAGGGTCGCCACCTTCGTCCTCAATGGCCTTAAAAAGTTATTTTAGGAACACAGCATGAGATATCACACGGTTTAACAAAACCAGTGTAATGACTGAAGACCATTACTAAGAGAGGTTGCAAAGTGTTGATTAAACTTTGTCCAATGGATTGATTATTTACTGTCTACAAATGCACAGCAGCATAAATATTCTTTACAGGCAGCACCAGTGTGAAAGCGTAAAATGCATAAGAATGGAAACATGATGCATGAAGGGTAATATATTTCATTCAGAAAGAGCGGCTATGCGCTCAATATTTGGATCTATATTCCAAAGGAAATTCAATATCAATATTTCTCTCAAATAATCACCATACTATAGCATCTTTCTGATTAATGACCATTACGTTTTGGTGCTAATTACAGTGTTAAAAACAGACCATTTCCAAACTGACAAGTTAATTCAAAAGTAATATAACCATTTAGAAATTAAAAGTCATTTAGCATTTTCTTGAAGGCTTTCTAAAGTGCACCAAACACATAATCCATGCATGTGACAGCACAGTCGAACAAGGTTACATAAAACGGGTGTCAACTTTTAAATTAGTGAAAACAAACGTCAGTTTCACTCTGCTCAATTAAGGAAGAACGATGTGCAATAATTGTGACATAATTCAATTTAAAAGTAATACATTTTATCAGAGAATTTCTATGTAAATTGATGTTCTATCGTAAATCCCACAATATACACCATCTGAGATAATCTGACCATTAGTCCAAGTAAAAAAGGTAAATCAAAATAAGAAAAAAAACATTTCAATGACTAAACTGAGTTCATAAACCAAAGCCTTTACTGTCGGCCAATAAGAGCATGTACTTCTCCCTGGCAATGTGATTTACGGCTCTGATCTCAGAAAAATTGGAGATATGAAAGGTTGAGCAAGGCCAAATAGTGAGGCCCCTCAGACAAAAAAGGCAGCCTTACTCAGCTCCCCCCCCCCAATAATGTGTATAACAAACGCCTTTTTCCCCACTCCTACTCTACAATAAGGGAAGTCAGAGTACATTTAGCTGCTATGATGGTACAAATACGACTATAAATACATATAAAGGCTAAAAAGTTAGTTTTTAATAGATGCCTTTTTGACAACTAAAATGCCAAAATTTCCAAAGTAATATAGTCTTCTTGATAACAGAAAACAATGTATCCCACAGGTTAAATTGGCTATACAGTGTAAACTGACTTTAAAAAAAACACGAAACAATTGCTGGTGGTGCCACTCGAGTGCTGTTGAGCATTCTATTCACCTAAATCCTAGAGCGAATGATACACATTTAAATAATATTGAGCATTAATATTCATACCTTTGGTATCACAGAACTCATGGCGAAAAAATGTAATCGTCAAAAAATGAAATAATCCCTTTCACCAAATTTGAATGCTACTGTGTGGGTCATCACCTGTGTTTAAACAGCTGAGGCCAATTACGTGCAATCTACCCCATCTGTTAACCAGGCGAACCCAACGCGTGGAAACGCATCTCCGGCGTAGTTCAGCAAGCCACATTAAAAATTAATTCACGGTCACAGATAGTGTGCAAGCCCTTGTCATTTCGAAATCTTCAATTTTCGCCAAGGAAAAGTAATCTTCGACGGTGCCTGAATCTGCACCAAATACTAATCAAATACCTGAATATGCGTATATATAAGCAATTTAATTGTAAAACGGTTATTTTACTACTGGAATTTTGTAAATGCAATTAACAGACGGCGGATATTTTGCAGTTTATACTGGCTAAGAGAAGAAAACCGTCACAACATTAGCTAGCATTAGCGTTAGCATCTCTGCATCACAAGCCCAGCTCATTGACCCTTTCTGCTAAATTAAAATGTATCTGTTACCTGTTTAAGTCTTGAAAGAAGAACGCTCTTTACGCCATTAGAGTCCAAATTCCTCCGTTTTAGTTCAGATTTAAGATCAACAACTCTTAATTCTGATATCTTTTTGGAATCCGTTGAAATGGCACCCGACGCCATTTTACCTCAAAATTAATTAATCGTGCGCGCGCAGACGGTTTTGCTCGCCCACTTTCTTCTTTGTTTATTTTTAAAACGTATTTTCTATGATCAAATGTTGCAACGCCATCTACCGTTTGGACCAATGAGCCAGTGGAAGAATTAATCTATACGTTAACCATACATCAGTAATTTTTATTTCAAGCTGAAATGTCGTCAGTTTTACCCAGCCAAACACCCAAACAACATCCTGATATTTTTCTTAGAAGGCAATCTAATATCACAAATCAGTCAATTAGGGAGATTCCTCCTTGTTGTGTCCACACTGTACAACAAACGTGCAAACTCTGATGCAATATATAAAAATTAAACATGTCCTAAAATCCCATTAAAAAATTTGAAGTTACAAAAAATAAAACCATTTAGGTGTAAATAAAAAAACAACAGACTCTCAGTGGTAACTGTTTAAGTTTGTACAAAAACGGATATAAATCAGTGAAAAGTAAGCAAAGTTTTTTTACTGCTTAAGATAATTTTTCTGGGTTCGGTGTGTGAATGGGAAACCTATGTTCCTTTGGCTTGGAAAGTTGATGGCTGACATGGATTTTAGTTTTCCACTTGTTTTTTCCCCAAATTTTAATATTTTGAAAGCACTTTTTGTCATTAATCATTTGTATAACAATGTGTTCTCAATAATAAGTATGACAGTACTAAGGGCAGCTCTGACTGTCAGAGGTGAGGATTCTTGGGATTCTTCACTGAGCACCAGCTCAATGACCTAAAAACTAATCACGAGATTGATCGACTGACTGATCGAAGATATTCCCCCCGTTAAACTTAGAACTACCATTTTTACTTTGATTTGTGATCCTCAATTATTTCTCATTTCCATTTAATATGTTAATGTGTCTCTTCACCCGTTTCCCGTGTTATTGAACAATGTTCTTTTGTTTTATTGCTGTTAAACTTTCTGCTTTTTATTGAGTGTAAAAAGAGATATCCAAAATTACATTTGCTATTTCTCATAAAACAATAACTAAGCAAACACCTCCAAAACAAGAATAGCAATAATGATAATAACAATAGATTGTATCTTAACCCTTTATGAAAATCTTCCAGTGTTTAATTAGCCATAAAATAAACAACAGAGTGAATAAAACATCAGAAGAAGGGACTCATAGTGTCTTCTCGGGGTGACATTTTCCAGAATGCTATTCACTGGTGTCTCATTACTCATTATTATCACGTACTTACTTATGTTTTGTTTATATTTGTATTTAGCAGAAATTGTTTGCTTTCTGATGTTTACTCAAAACACTTCCACACATGATGTGAATATGTTCACTGATTTAAAAATCACGCAGTTCAGCCACATCCACTAGAGTGCGCAATTGTACATTGAATAAAAAAATAATCAAGTACGTCATGAATTTAGAGCAATCGTACAAGGACTTACATTATCATAAAACAATTAAAAAAAAAACATGGGATCACTTAAGATTTTTCAGGGTTTATCGTAAACACAAATAACTATGATCACACTGTCTACTATCAACAAAGAACTTTTTTTTAATACACTGACAAGAGATAAAGTGAAGCTGTCGCAAAGTGTCGTAAAGTATGTGATGGCTGGTGTAAATTTAGCGCCCCCTTGCGGCATTCAGAGCAACGACGGTGATGTAGCAGCAGTCAGCTACAGACGACCTGCTGGGTAAACAACAGTGGATGGCTCGGAAGGCAGGAATGGGAACTTCGTCGAGGGCAAATAGTGAGCCATTTCTATCTTGTTAAAAAGAAATATGATAAAGAGATTGTATCACATTTGAAGTGTATGTAGGATTCCTTAGCTAGACAAAATGGATGATTGTTATCGAGTGCTTCATAAGTGAAGTGGAGCTAGCCTTAGCTTAGCTCGTAGCTACCCAGGGCCCACTGCCTTCGATTTTGTCTCTCGGCTCTGCCCGGGACTGTGTTGTCAGTTTCACAATCCCAGCCACGACCTACCTCGGGACGCGATTTCTGCGTAGGCCTGTCCAGTTGCCGTTATTCTTGACATTTAGATAACTGTCCGTTGTCAACGTTTGCCACAGTTTTCCTCCGGATTTTGCGTCTCACGTTACGAAAAGGACGATGGCACATATTGAAATAAGGACTTAGACCCAGGTACGTGTTCTTTGTTGTCGTCTGTCTGGATAATTTGCCCCGGCTTCATGGCAAGCTGTGCTTTAATTCCTTCCTCTTGGCGGGACAGTGTTGAAATAAATGAATATCAACGCATATGTTTCTGTGAACACTTCTTTATTAAGCCGACTTTGGCTGGCCTGAGTCACTTCTGCAGCGTTTGTGGGACACAGACAGACAGACCGACAGCAGCTGGGCTTATTGTGATTGTGAAGCCTTGTAGAAACTATGCTTAGCGTCAATTTCAAACTCGACACCGTAAACGTAAAATGAATAAACGTAGCCGTATTTTAGCTTTCCAAACCAGTCTGTCTACGTTTCACAGAGGTATCCGTAGAGCTGAGTCCGACACCCTTTTGCCATTTCTGTCACACCGTATGTGTTTCCTTCACTGACAGTCCCGAGTTTTCAATTTGATCGTAGCAGCTCTTTCTCTTCCGTATAGTAAACTGGTTGTGTTGATCACAAAACTGAATTGAAATTTTATTATTCTGCCTTGGTGTGGGAATTTTTTCCCCTTCAGGGCTGTCCTCTGAGGCCCCTGACATGATGCATGTCATTGCGCAGCTTTCTCTGTGGCAACTAAAGGTCTCTCACTCAACACAGAAGTGCAAATCAAACATACAAAAAGAAATACATGTTGGGCCCACATCCCTCTTTCCTCAGAACCTACGTCTTTGTTTCGAGTGACAACAAACACGCTATTATGAAATAGGCTGTGAAAGAGGAAAGTAATGACATTGCCCGGTGAGTTATTTCCCCTCTGTAAGCAAATGGAAATGCACTACAAAATGCATTGCCATCATGCACAAATCTACATACTGATGCGGTCCAATGCCCTGCAGCAAATGCGATCAGGAATGTTTTTGTGTCACATTTTTGTGGAAACATTGCCAGAGACTTGGGAGTAGTGGGTTTTAAAGCTGCAGCGTCCGTTATAGGGGAGTATTCCGTCACTGTTCCTCAATATATCTGCTCGTGACTGTGCTTTTGCATGAAGATACACTGTTTTTATTTATTAAATGCAGCACCGTGGTCTTCATGATGCGTGGCATTACTTCTATTTTTTATTTGAAACAGAGTTGATGCTAAGCGAGTATATTGTGAAATCACTTTCTGAGTTACAGGCTGTATGATATCAACAAGCGTGGTGCTACTGTGGGTGATATATCGCTGCAGTCATACAGAGTATGACACACTAAAGTTATGTGACTATTTACTGAAAACCACAGTGCATTCCCAGCATATCCAAAATGGCTTTTTTAACAGCAGTGTTAAAAGTAGTAGATATGGTAGAGATGCCAAAAAAATGTTGATCTTTTCTTTTGGAATGGCAAAAATTTGACAAATCTGCTGAGAGATATTTTACAGTGACACGTTTCCATTGGGCTTGAAGTATTCAGCTGTGGTATGAACACTCTACGTACTGCATCGATTTTTGAGAGCATCACAGTTCTCTTTTTAAAGGAATTCAAACCAGTCAAGTTTTTTTTTTTTTTCTTCAGCTACAGTTTTGAAAACAGAACAACAGTCAGAGCCATGCACTGCCATGCATGTGAATTTGTGCTGCCTTCTAGAGGCTGACATGGTGGCTTGAAAGCTCATCAAAATTTCAAACAGAGAGGCTGATGTCCCTCACATTTTCTCTCTGAAATTAGCAAAACCCGGCCCATCGTTTTTCTGTTTGAGAAACGTAATGATATGTTAATCTGAAATTTTCATATGTCTGTTCTATGAAATAACTTATGGTTCAGTTTCATAAGTGAGACTTTTCATTTCAAATAATGTATTTCCTGTTGATGGTATTAAAGCCTGAAACTTTATTCAATAGGTTGGACGTGCTAATTATATCCAGCTATTTGTGCGTTACTTTGTATTTTCAATGAAAACAGCCTCAGTGTTTGGCTGCAAACCTAAGTTACAGTTTGCTCTATCTCGACCATCAGGCAGTCCAGGCCTGTTTCAGGCCAGGACTTACAAAGGTTGTTGTATACAAAACGTCTTACTGTCACTTTAGTGGATTCATAACGGGTATACAATTCCTGCTTATATATACAAATCAATGTGTTGCTGATTGATAGATATGATATTACTAAAGAGATCAGCGACGTTTGGTTGATATAAGAACTATTTGTCTTCAATAGTTAAATGGATTAATTTAAACAGAAAAAAATTCACAATTGCACTGTCTACTGTTTATACTATTTTTGTTTTTCCTGCCGGTTGGAAACAAATTCCCAGTATTGTCATTACTGAGTGTGTAAACTCCACTTTTGGCTGGCAAAACATTCTGTCAGCCATGTGCTTTGAGAAAGTACACAGAATTTCAGAGATAAACATGTCAGTGCATGGACAAACTGGCAAACATTTCAGGAATGGTGGAATTCTTCGTTGTTTTGGGAGACCCGACAAAACTGCTAGAAAGTCCTACTGCACCACTTTAGTTTTTTCTGAGGGGATACTCGTGAGTGAGTTCACCCGAATACAGCCCCAACCCTGCCGAGGCGATGACAAAACCATGGGAGTCGCTTTTATGGTGGCTATTCTCATCCCATGGTTATCCCGTTTTGATTTGGTCTGACTCATGCGTTGCCTAGAATTAACAATGAAGCCAACAGATCAGGGCTGAGCCATCCATTACTTTAATTTAGCCAGTGAGTATTTATTTTCTGTCTTTAATCAGTAGCATTGAGTCACACTGTCTTAACTTCTATAAAATAGTAGAATGACTGAGTGGAGGAACATTGTCCAATATTGAACACAAAAATGATTGTTACGGGTGTATTGGTACATGTAATTAGTCCTGTGTGTTGTAATTTGGTCAGTGTAATGTTTGAACCAACAGCAATGAAGAATTCACAGCAGAAGAAGATCCTCTTGTCCTCCTTTTATTATTATGTTTCCTTTCAGATTATTAAGAATATATGCTCTATTAATCAGTTGTTAAATCACTTTTGTCACATGAATGACAGAATCAGAATCGGAAATCATTTAAGAATCCCAGAGGGAAATTATTTTAGTTTCCACACTCCAGATATACAAACAACACACACACTCACACATATATATGTATACATACATCCAACATTCCAAAAAATATAAATATGCCAGTTTAAAAAGCATCTTATTTCCCCCTTGATCCAGTAGAACCTGATTCTCTTTGGCTTCACGCTTCCTCTGTCTCAGCTGATGTACGGGAGTGTGTTTGCTTGTGTATGTATTTAAAATTTTGCTTGTAATGGCAAAGGAGGACTGACGTTTTAGATGCGTATTCTCCTATTTTTAGCTCACTGAATTTGAATTCAAGTATTTTATTTGTACAGTAAATTGGCTTTGCATTTGGGTACATTTAAATTCAAGTTAGTCCCTGTAATTTGACTCATCGCAGATATTTGAATGTGGTATTCAGTGACCTCCTTCTTCTTGGCATTCATGAATGAATTAAGACAAAATATTTTTAGCTCATTGCTCAGACCCATGTGAGAATTAGCTCCATAGTTTTTTTTTTTTTTTAGAGGATTTAATACATTTTCTCTTTCTATCTCTGTGTTCTTTTTCAGGTTTTGAGAGATGCCGTTATCAGAATCTTAGGAATTAATGTGACTGCACTTGGTGTTTGCCCCGTGAGGACAGACCTGCCACCATGAAGAGTGAGGTGCCCACTGAGCCCACCGGCCGACAGGAGCACCTGAAGGAGCCACTGGTGAACCCAGAGTCCGTGGACGGAGCCAAGAACTACTCCAACAACGTGGAGGTTATTGGAAAGGCTGGCAGCGACTTTGAAACCCTGTGCGAACCCAGGCATCGGGCCCTGAGGGACACGGGCACCCACAGAGACTCAGAGCGGAGCCTCCCTGGCCGCAGAAAAAGAAAAGGCCAGCAGGCAGGGCCGTCTGACTGCTCGCTCAAGGAGGGCCACATTAGCGAGAATTCCCTGGCACCTCAGCGTCCAAGAGTAGAACTTTTACAGCATCCGAGTGAGGATGAACATAACCACGAGTCCTCTTTTAGTGACTGTGCCTCCTCTCCTTCGTCAAGCCTGCGATTCGGGGACTCGGACACTCTCAGCTCTGACGACGATGGCGAGGCTGAAGCAACAGGGGGCCAACACAAGGCTCCTGCCCTGACAACGGGAGGAGCCGCCGGGGTTGGCCTCCGCCCTAGTTTGGGCCGGACTCGGGGGAATCGCTCTCATAAGTGGGTGCGAGCCGAGGCTGAGCCCGTGCTGCTGAAGCGGCCGTGCCTGAGCAGCCGGCGGCCTCTGCATAGGAAACGCTTTGTTAAAACCGCTCCTGGAGGAGGTCAGCGGACTCAAAAGCAAAAGAAGCGAATACAGCTGCAGCGGGAGAAACGGGAAGTGATAGAACTGAGGAAATATGCTCTGCTCCATAGCACCAGTAGTTCCAGCGGAGAGCTGAGTAGTGACTCGTCGTCCCCTTCTTCTACTGAAGCAGAGGATGAGCTGTATGTAGATGTGAGCAGCACCAGTAGCCAGCCCAACAGTGCTACTGTAGCCACAGGTAACTACAGAGCTCCAATCTGTGACAAAGTCTGTCTTTGTGTGGCTTCTTATGCCAAGTATGTTGCTGTGTATTTTTTCAACCAGAACTGAGGCCTTTCTCATCGTCCGTAGTCGCATGTTTGACCCTAAGCGTTTTCAGTAATGCTCCTCCAAAAGAACAAACCTGTAAGTGAAATAAGTTTCAGTGCATCCTGCTGGCTTGTAGCCCTAATCACAGCGTCGTCAGTGAAGCACTGGCACGGCACCCAGATGTTGCTTTCTTATTCCTGCCAATCGGATCTGGAGACGATAAATAACCGCAACTCCTGCAGAGTCGATTGGCATGTTACTGAATGAGGATTGAACACTTTCCCATGGTGCACAATGTCCAGATGTCCCTGTCTGTAATGGGTTTGGCTTGAGTAAAACACAGGATTTGGTTAAGGGCGCTGCAGGCCAGCAGACACGCTTGTCTAATATCGCAGTTATCAACACCTGGGTGGGGTATTGACCCTGGTACTTTTAATAGCAGCGACCATATTACACCAGTACTACAGCATACCAATTGATCTAGATCAGATGTTGAATCAGGTGTCGAATTTTGGAGTATGAGAGGGTGTGGGCGTGAGAGATCCAACCAAGAATGGAGCCATCCTGATAACTACATTTATCTACGACAGCACGCACAATGTGTCTTTACTGGCAAAAAAATCTGCTTATATGTTTTCAACTTTGGGAGCTGCACAACTCGGCATTTAACCATTCCTTATTTAATTTCTTAAATCCCAAACAGATGTGAAATGGAGACATCTGCAAAAAGCAGTTTTCCACCTGCTCCACACAATCAAAACTTTACACTCCAGCCATGTCCGACCATATAACCTCTAATCTTTACAACTCCTAAATGTAATTCTAACTCAAAACAGGTCTGCTCTGCCTATCAGTTACACGTATATTGCAGATACTAAACAAATGTCTTCATTTAGTTAGAAAGAAAGAAAAACCCAGCATTACCTCTTAGTGTAGGACTCCAACCGCACCTCATAAACTGGGCCCTTTCACTCACACATGTCCAAGTGGTGTTTAAATTGACAAGTGTAGTTATTTTGTGGAGCAGATATGTTTTTTTTTGTTACTAGAGAGAATATAAAGTGGAAAAAAGCAAAACAACATTTTCTATTGCATTTAAAAGAGTCTTGTTTCTAGAGAGCTATCCACTGGAGTAGATCAAATAAATTCAAATTAACACATTAACACATTAATTCAAATTCTGTTTATCAGTACCCTCTCATGTGAATATTCCTAAACTGTTAAAGAAACAACTTTTGTTAACCAACTGGAGGTTCATAAGCATCAATCTCATTATTTAAAAATAGAAAGGGGGAAAGAAAAGGATAAAGTCACATCACAGCATAATAAAAGAAGTGCAAAAAGTCTTAATTTCGCAGGCACGATTGTCACTAATGCTGCAGGAAAAACACAATCCTGCATGGATTTACATATTTTAATGAAAGTATGTTGATGCAGTGCGGAATTAATACGCTCTGAAAAGCATAACAAAATAGAAATAGCGGGTCAACATGTGTCATCCAGCTTGCAATGATCGATTACATTCTTCAAATAAAAAGGCTGTCAAGTGATATTTTCTCTTCTTAAGTGAACTTCATAGACACATGCCGTTGTTTTACAGATCAGCTCACTGTGTAATTTGGATTTGTTAGGCTGTTGAACAATTTTCGCACAACAGTGGCCACAGCGCGGGTGTTTTGGTCACCGACTCCGTAGCCAGGTGGGAGCCAGGGGCTAGCCATGCCTCACCATGGTCAGTAAACAGCTTGGAATCTCAGAATAGAAGCAGGAATACAGGGGTGAAGTGGAACCAAAAGCATGAGAGGATTTCATTTAATTTTTTTCAGCCTGTGCTTGTTGTAGACGGGACTAAAAAGGATTGTCGACTTTAATGTATGTAGTTTGTGTTTCCAGTATTAATGAGAATATTGGATGACACCAATTAAAGACTAGCCACACCCCTCTACTTTAAGGGCCTCCCACCTGGCATATTTTGAAGGAAACCACTGCCCCCTAGACAGGTGACACAACAGGTTTATCCAGCACCTAAATTAAAGTATTTTTCCTAAGCAAAAATAAAAAAAAATTTAAAAGTCGACCTTTACCGTGGCATGCTGTTTCTCTCATGTAGCCATTTAGCCTCAGTGATGTTTCTGCTGCCCAAAGGGAGAATGGAAAGGCATTTGTTGTGCCTCTGGTGGGAGACAGGTGGGAGAAAACTCAGACACTGGTAAGCAGCAGCCTTCTCGTAGAAACAAGTCAGTCTCAGAGGGAAAACTAGGGATTTGTTTATGGCAGGGAAGACGGAAAGAAGCAAGTGACGAAACCGGTCTTCCAAATGCCTCGTGCTGGAGTGTGTGTGTTAGACAGGAAATGGTAACGTTTGATATCTAATGTTTAAGTTATTGGAAGATATCCAAGTTTACAAACAATAACAAGCCTAATATGCATATAGGTTGGGAACAGAATTTCCCTGGATTTTAGTTTTGAATAAAAGAAAATTCTGCAGTCGGACTTCAAATAAACACATTGGGTAACATTTGAATTTGGAGTTCAGACGTCGTCAGCAGCAGTTGCTCACCCTTAAGTATGCTGCATGCTCTTCTCATTTAAAGCGGGGTTATTGGGTAGCTGTTGACAGCGATCACATGTGGTCATATATATTTTTATTCTCTTACTTGCTGGGCTTGTTAAGAATAGTAGCACCAAGTGTTGTTTGGCCGACCCCACCAAGGCAACATATTGGTTACAGTTCTGCACCAACTTGAAAGGTGGTGTTGTTATTGTGATTGCATGAAGCTGTGCAGCTAGACTTGCAGAGGGTGCTAAGCAGCAGCCCTCAGGAGACAGTTGGACTGGAAGTCACAGAGGAGGAGTAAGCAAGCCACTCAGTGACTGGAGTGAAGCCTACAAAGCTCATGTAAACTTTGTCAGAGACCAATGTTAAAAGTACCTTTCATATATATTTTTTCAGTTAAAAAAAAAAAGGTTTTTGGTATCGCTGGTCATTGGTGACATGAAATTGGTGTCCAGTCATTGGGCGTGGAAGTCGTTTTTCCTCTCTGGGACCAGATTGTTACAATTAACAAAAATATTTGAATGTCATATCTCAGAATATTGGACGAGAGTGATATAGTAGACAGCCGCAACAAATGGCATGGGATTTACAGGGAGCACTCAATCATGTGGGAGAACTTGACTCACGCCCGATGCATGAGTCAGCAACTCTCACTTACACTGAGAAATTGTGACAATAATTAGAAACAGACATTCGGCTGTAAGCACTGAGACCTACAGTATGGTTGAAGCTACTTTGCCGTCCAGGATACCCACAAAGCAGGGGAGAAAGGGGTTTAGTGTGAAAGAAGAAGAGTCAGAATGGACATTAAAGCGTACTTTTTCAAGCTTTTTGTTCCAACTTCATCTCTAAAAAATCGCAAAAAAAGAAATTCAGAACCTAAATGAATGACTTATTTGAATTGAATGTGGTTGAAATTGTTTATTGGTGAAATAAATGTTTGAAAATATTTACAAATCTGATTTAGTCTGCATAATTCAGATAGAAATAAGGGAAGAATCATAACAGCAAGTGGAGGGAGTTGGTATAGGTTTATCCATAACGTTGCCCTAAAATAACGTGTTTTTTGTAATAAAGCCAGCCCACTTTGGGAGCATTGCTGTCATTAGCCCTCCTCCCTATAGACACACACCCCACCCATACTGCTGACACGGTCTCCATGAGAAGGGCTCAGACAGGAAAATTATGTGTTTCCATCAGATCTATAGTCAACTTCTGTTAGCAGTTTTTGCGATGCGCTCGGTTCTTGAATATAGGAAGAATTTCACACGCAGAGGCATCTTCATTTTGTTGTTTGTAAAACAAAACAACACCAAGACAGATTACCTTGAATCGATAAAGTCTCTGTACAAAATACTAAGCTGGATCATGTATGAGGTGGGATTGTTGTGGTAAACATAAATTATGTTTCTTACAGATCTAATTCTCTACACATTGGCTCCATTTTTGTGGGCTGACTCAGAGGGTTATGAGGTCCAAACGAACCCATTGACAGGGCAGATTTAGAAAAGGCTGGTGGCAGTACAAACAGCTGAGTGTTGATGACCTTTCTGCAGTAAGAACCTGAGCAAATTCTGCAGTGTCCACAAGTTCAGTAGTTTTGTGTGTGAATGTGAATATCAATCTAAAATCCTTGGCTTCTCTCTGGTTGAAAATGTCCAAATGCTACAAATTGTGGTACAAAATTAGAATGTATTTGCTCTTTGTTTCCTTTCTGTGTTTGTTTCTTTTTGGAAGGGTGTGCTCTTTAAGTCCTGTGCTAACCCCTTCCGGTGTACTCAGGTGCTCTAGATGAGGATGTGGTGGTGATTGAGGCGTCTCCAGCTCCAGCACCCGCTATCCCTGCGAGCGAAGAGATCAACGTCACCTCCACAGACAGCGAAGTCGAGATCGTTACGGTCGGAGATGGATTCAGGTAGGCATACAAGTCTTCACAACAAGCAATGTGTTTATTGAAAATAAATAGCCATATTATTTCAGTTCAAATGGACATTTAAAGGGTTAAGTGTTCAATGAATAATGGGATTGTTCTGTTCATTCAGATGATGATTGGTGGGGATTTTGATCACCTATCTGATACCTCTGCTCAGTTTGCTCCTAACTTCCTTCAGCTTCCTTCGATGACTCCACCTTCCAATTAAACATGACAACAACTTTGTGTTTTATAGCGCTTTATATAGTAGTAAAGTTTCATGATAGATGCAGGGTGTGATTTCTATATATGATTAGTTCCAGTTGGCTTTAACTGCGTGTTGTCTGGCTTACTAGTCGACTACCTTTCACTCATGCTGTCAGAGGGTGTGGAAATCTCAGACCTCATTGTGGTGTGGAGCATTTACTTTATGCTACAGTCTTTATTTGGACAGATTTGCTTGTAGCACTTTAAAAAAAAAAAAAATCTGATCTGAGGTTCTCTGGCTGCAGATGCCACAGCAGTTGCAATGCAGAGGTGCAAACATTGTAGCTACAAAGGTAACACTAATGTTGTTTAGCAGCCATTTTGTCTTTTTTTAAATAGTTCTATCATATGAAATGCAGGGTGGATTTTTGTGATGATTTATCTTAATTAGTAAGGGTATTTATTACTTATTTTGAGAGAGGCAACACATAAAAGTTGCGAAATGTTTGTGAAATTGTAAACACCATGCTGTGGCCACAGCTTCTGCTCCAGCAATACTCCACAAGAAATGTTAAAGGCTTGGTAACAATGTTTTAACCAATGTAATAATGGCTCACAGTGGTCGCTTTGGGGACATGTATTTGAAGGGAGAAAGAGGGAAAAAAATTGTTTTAATAGGACCATTTTTCAGCTTTTGACACTTATTGGGCTCCCCTCCATCAGTTGAAGGTTTTCACACCAGTGGGTCTTTGGTGTTGTGACATGCCTTGACTAAACAAAGCACAACTTTTATCATAATCATCAACTACTCCTTTCAAGCTTTTTAGTTTAAGCCATCAAAGCTGTGGCCTCCTGATGGGCAAAAATAATCGAACAGAAGATTAATGGAGGAGTTGGTTTGCAGATCTATAATTTAACCTTCAACCAAATTAGAAAGTGTCACAGATGTTATCGATCGTCACAGTTGTTGAGAGCAGTTTTTCCTGCCAACACCCGGCTCAGCGGGATCCTGGGACCGGGCGGAATGCAAGCAGGTTTTCTTTCTCATTTTGTGAACACACCAAGAAAACACCCCAAATAAGGTGGAAGAAGTGTTTTATTTAGATGTGCAATGGAAAAAATGAGGATGCTGCGAGAAATGTCAAATGTTTGTCAGAGCATTTTCTATTGTCTTGATGATGGAAAAAAATTCAGTTTCCACCAAAGCATCACAACCAAAAGGCCCCTGGTTTGGATCCCTGCTGAGGGGTCTTCTTTCTGGCTGAAGTTTGCACGTCCTCTCTGGGTACTCAGTCTTCCTCCCCCCCTTCCAAAAGTATGCATGGTGGCTTATTGGGTCACTCCGATTTGACTCCTGGACTGGGTGCCACCCTCAGTTGGATTAAGCGGGAATGGAAAATAAAGTTAGATAAGTTCATGTTGCGTTCGGGGTACATTCAGAGGAAGATCCTTTTGGTTCACAACGTTAAAAACAAATTTAGCCAGAAAACAGTTTTCTTCAGGTCTCACTACTGTAGTTCGTGTTAGCTTTCGAGCTAAATGATTAAACTAGTTAATAACGTTGTGTCATCGTTATCACTCCGACGCGTCATTGGTTGTCCTTGAATCGAAAACGGAGTACACTGGTTGGCTGTGTGTGTTGAAGAACTGGAAAACGACTAAAAGCAGGCCGGCCGTTGCTTATGTTTAAAAATCAGCGGCAGGGTAGGGTGTATTGTACTCCTGGTGGATTTGCTTTGCTCATAGATTCCAAAGCTGTGCTTCTATTTCCCACAGAAAGCAGCCGTGCTACAGCTGCATGCCAGCTTGTTTATAGCCATGAGGCCACGTCATTCTGAATAGTGCTCCTGCTATTTAATTCTTTAAAGGAACTTCACACACTGTTTTTCTAACCAATGGCCTGACTGAATGATCTTTGTTGGTGACTTTTGTCATTTCCTTTCTTCACCACAGCAGCAGACCAAAAAAAACCCCAAGATGCTATATTTAATTTTTATCCACACAAGATCATTATTTATACATATATATATTTTTTTTAATATCTTTCCCATATATCTTTTCTGGCCCCAGTAAATAAAGCCCTACTTTAACCTAACCAGGTGACTTTGCTTTTTGTGTCCTAACCTAGCAAAGCATTGACAAAATGGGAGCAAGTGGATGGTGAAAACAAAATGTTAGTGTGGAATAGTATGAAAGAAAGTTAAAAAAATCAGCTTCCCACGCAAAACCCAAATGAGGTTTTCCAGTTGAAAGTCGAGTGTATTATTCCACTCCCATCTCTCCAACCTTCTGATGCCAAATTTTTGCTTCTTAAAACCAAAAAAGGCTCCCATCTGTCATACTTTTCATGTACATGAACACGAGGCAAATAATAACTGGTCTCTGGAAAATTTTGTCCAGAGGTTCTTATATTTGACTACTTCAAGAACTGCATAAACAAATCCAAAATAAGGAGTTGCTAAGCCATTGCTTTAGGAATATTTATTTTAAAAAATCTATAGTAACTTTAAAGGATGGAAGATTTTAGAATAGATCACTGCTCTGTGTTCACAAATCTGCACGCTATTAACAGTGAGAGTACAATACATTTACAGAGAATATATCCCATTTTCTTCCTCTACAGCATCCTCCACTGAGAATTTTATTACCACATTGTAGAAATGTGACTTCCTGTCTCAGTACTCTGTCACCATCTAGGCAGCTGTGCTGCTCCAATCATAAACCTGCCTCTGAGTTAACCTCCCATCTGTCTCGCCTTGTGGGCACCCTCTCTGTAGCCCCCCCCCGCCCCACCCCTTTTTTCCTGACTTAATATCAGTTCATCAGAAATGTCTGAAAACAGTTCAGGGAAACTTATTACTTCTAGCTTGGCCAGTCACAGTTTGTCTAACCAGGCGGTTTTCTTCACTTTCAAAGATGCCCTGTGTTGCTGGACTGAAGAATGTAGAGATGAGCAGAAGGCCGGCGGGGGGATGGGGGGGGAGGGGGGGAGGGGGGCTGCTGTGGAGCAGGAGGGCGGGGAGAATGAAAGGCCAACAGAATGAGCAAAGAAAGCTTTGTTCACTGACAGTGGGCTACTTTGCCAATCTGTGTTAGTTTATTTAGTTTATTTCAATACTGCTACATGCATTGAGGTTTCAGGATTTTTATGCGTTGTATTTGAACTGTAGATAGGCACTCTTTGGCTGTTTGGACAGGACTTTGGCAGCTTTATTTAACTGTGCATATTCAAGATTAGCTCTACAGCAGCACACTACAGGAACTCTAACTATTTTAGAGTTTCACATGTGAAAGGTTTTCAGGAAGCACCCTGAATTATAAGGAAATAGCTCAATGCTTTTGCCCATGCAAAGGTTGATGCCACAAATTGTTTACCACTCCTTACTCTGTGCTATTGCTGCCCTCCGCCCCCCCTTCAACTCCCAAACTCCCTGCCTTAGCTGTCCCTAGCATCAGTCCTGGCAGTTCACTGCACATTACCGCAGTACACAGCTCTCAGCTCTCCCTTTTCCCTGGAGTGTGTGGCTCACATCACTTTGGCTTGACACAGCCACAGCTCTGCCAAGATGCCCATTCCCATAGTGATCATATTTATAACGTACTGTTTTCCTCTTTGCTCTCGCCCCCTGCCCCCAGGGGCTCACAGTGGTAAACAGATATTTACAAAATAATCCCTGGTCTGCTTAATTAGCAGCGCATCCCTAGCGTCAGGTGGTGTTCCCTGGGATCAGACCTGAGCGGAGGAGGCAGGCCAATTAGACCCCCCCCCCCCCCCCCCCCCCCCTTAACTTTCTCTGAATGCTACCCTCAGTGCTGTGATTTTTTTTTTTGCAGCTAACAAGCATGTGTTGATTTTTCTGTTTGCGCGTTTGGCACAAGTTTGCCTTCTTTATTGAAGGAATTTTAAAGTCAATAAGCTTCCTCTTCATTCCACCTGTATTGTGCTGCATATCTCACAGGAAACTGGATGGATGCAGGCTGTATGAGCATATGGGAATCCCCCTTATCGCAAACAGCAGTGAGGAAGGCATTTCCTCCATTACACAATCTGAGGAGCGTGATGAAAGCGAACACTTAATTGGGAATAATGCATTACGGGTGTTCTTAACAGTAAGCCTTTTAGACACTAGATGTGTGGTGAAAGAATCATAAAATGAATAAAATCACAGTTTGGTGTGGTCACCCTTTTCTTTACACTATAGAAAGCAGGATTTTCTTGACAATCATCCCAAGCTTCTTTGAGAATTCGCCACAGCTCCTTTGTGGATTTCAGCTCTCATGGCCTCCTCAGACTTTTGAAGCAGTCCCACGCTGACCCAGTGATGTTGCAACCAGTGCTCTGTAGAGGCCACACTGTGTACATAATACAGTCCTTGGAATTTGAAACGCCTTTTGGAACATTATTAGTTAACCCCCCCCCCCATCTATTTTTTTTTTTTGTAAATTGTAGAGAATTCATCCACCAGTTCATAAATACTGATTCGAAAAGTCAGTTCATTCACGTCTGTAGAAAGATGGAACAACAGAATTATTTGATTCAATTGACAAACTCTCGTAAATCTAGTTGCTAATCATTAAGAATCACTGAGCTAGATTATAATCTCATTTGACACATGAAAGCGGTGGGTAACTAGGCTGTGCTTTTGGAGCTCAGATTTACCCTCATTTTCCCATCCCTGCTGTGTACTTTGTAAGAGCTCTCATTAAGCTGCACAGAAATCCCCAAGCGACAAAGCTCCATGGCATCCAGCTTTACGGCACTCCCGTACAGCCTCTTTTCTCTTGTCCCTGGTGGACATCCCCCTCTCCTCCCCCCGATCACCTGGCAATAGAGCACAGAGGAGGGAATGTGGCTTTTCCCTTGCTTCTCACTCCTGTCTCAGAGGCCACAGAGCAGAGCGACCGGAGCCTTAAAGAGAGAAAATTAAAAAAAAAAGGGAGGAGAAAGGGCCAACAGCCGGACAGGAGAGGGGCGCATAATTTGAGTGATGTTCAGGAGATGGAAAGGCCCAGAAATAGCAGAAATACATCCATAAGATGATAAGGGCTCAGGAATCCTTAATCACAACCAATTTTTATTACAGATGAAGGCTGATGAAAAATGTTGTTTTCATGATGGCTGAAAATTGGCATTAATCGAAAAAAATTCTGATTTTATTCAACTCTTTCCCTCTCCCTCTGAGTCTCCCACTCTGTATATATTTACACATTTACACACACAAATATGTATGTGTGTGTGTATGTATGTGTGTGTGTGTATATATATTTATACAAAACGTTGGAGAACCCTTCTGACTACTTGCTGAGTAAAGTGATTTGCATGTGCTTCAAGGACCTAATTCAATCTATGGAAAAAAAGAAGAGTTAGATCAGGTTTGGTAAAAATGGCTGTAAAAGCTTTGGCAAGGGCATTCTAACGCTGAGGAGAGTGATAGAAAGTGAATGCATTATCTTTCTGATACTTACACTTGCATGGCAGCCTGAATAATTTAGTCCCCTCTGCTTGAGAATCACTCACTGGTTCAAATATTTACTGCTGGAGTACCATCGCTAAGCAGAGGAAAAAATAAGTTACCCAAGCCGCCATCTTCATCTGCTCCAGGTGGAAAATAATTTGGTGGATGGCATAGTCGTACCCCAAGCCCATCTCGGGTCATTTAATGTTTTTTGTTTGTTTTTTAAAGTAAAAGGTTTTTGATACCTGGAGATAAGCTTTAAGCTGATTGCTGACTATTTATAATAGACCATTTAGAATATCCCTGGTTGTTCTACACAGTTTGAATGTAACAGGTGTCCCTTTTTGCCGGTTTCCTACAGGTCACGCTCAGTGGGGGGTCTTGGCAGGATTTGGGCCAGTAGTTGCTCCCAGAACCGTCTTCAGGAGCCACGTGGACGTCACAGACTCTCCACAGTCATCCAGCCACTGCGTCAGAGTGCCGGGGAGGTGGTGGACCTCACTGTGGATGAGGATGGTAAATATGAAGCAACAAGAAGGGAAAAAAAGCCTCCAACGCACTGTATGCCATGTCCTGTGGGATAAGCGAGCACAGCTTTAACTTGGGTCTCAGTTATCTGACTAATCTCAGATTAATGAATAATTTGCTCTTTAAGAGAACCGCTTAGCATCCATAAGTCATCCTATTACTTTCCTGACTTTTGGCTGTTTGTAGTGTTCTTCAGCAAAATGTTCTGAAGTATAACATAAAGAAAATAACAGATAGATAAAATTAGAAAATAAAATCATGTGCCAGTTGTGGAAAATGGAGAAGTTTGTGATCAAGATGTCAGCCCTGCTTTTTCTCAGAATAGTTGGTCTTGGAACACGGGAAGTTGCACACTTTGATTTAGTGACAAGAGGATTTTGTAAAACTGTAATGAAGTAAATGTGTCGATACAATCTAGATGAAAATTATTAATGGTTTATCAGCTGCCCAGTTGTAAAGAATTATTGTTGATAAGCCTTCATTCCCCACAACCAGCAATATATTTTCCCAATTTTTTTTATTTCTTTTTACATTATACAATATATTTTTATTGTAAAATAAAAGTGTTTTGTCACCGCTGTCATTTTTGTCTCGAGTCGGTTCAGCTCGTTCTCATGACGTATGAGTGTTAGATCGCCAAGTATCTGCATCTCCTAGGAGAAAGAGGGGCAATTCATTTCTAAATATTAAAAGCAGATGGAGCACACACACACTGCTGTGTTAATAAGGTTTCCTTCTAAACTGCAAAGGCGGTCCAAGTGAAGATTTGTCCTTTACAGACAGTGTCAGATTGTTTTCTAGCAGGTAAAATGAACTAAATCTCGGCTTAAAAATTAGTCATTCTTTTGCAGAAAAGAGCTAAAACATCCTGGTACTTTTCCACTGAAATCAAAAGGTTTTATGTTGAACTCTTTAGTTTGGGGGAATGGTGGAAATAGATACGGTAACTTTTTTTTTTTCAATTTTAAGAATAATTTCACCATTTTAAACTGTCCCTTCTCTTCTTTTTTCCCCCCTCCTCAGATCTCTCAGTTGTGGCAACCACCTCTGGCAGTGTTCACCCTCAGACAGTCAGGTCGTCATCTTCGTCATCCTCCCATCATGCCTCTACCTCAGAGCTCAATGATGCCCCAGGTCCTTCCACAAGCTGCTCAGGTTCAATGCCTGAAAGTATGCACACACAGAGACCAAGTGGCTCTGCTCGCACAGCCACAGACGGTGAGATGGCGGCACAGAAAAACAGCCACCGCAGACTTTAGGGACAGCTTGAGTCAGAGTTTCTGTATTGTGGGCCGTTTGAAAAAAGCTAACCTGCTGCTTCGTTATATCTTTTGTCTCACACTGGGCAGACGACAGCAGAGCAGGTTTGTCAGGTGCCGCCGGAGAAAACACGGGAACAGCCATGCCCAGACTCCCATCCTGCTGTCAGCAGCACTCCCCGTGCGGAGGCCCCTCCCCCGGTCACCTGTCCCTGAGCCACTCCCACTCCAGCTGCTTGCAGGCGTCCTCCTCCCAGCAGAGCGGCGCCTCTCAGCACGGCCACAGCACCACCCACCATTTTCTCCACCACGTCCACCACCCCGCGCCGCAGCCTCCGGGCACCGTGCCCTTTCAAGAGCCCAGCTGCCCCGTGGAGCGGCCCAACGCGCTGCCCGCCCCCTGCGCCAGAGTCGGGGGCAGCGGCGACAGCAGTGGCGGCGGCAATGCGGCTCACTACCACGACCAGGTGCACACCAACGTTCTTAATTTACCACTTTAAACGTCACGCTTTTTCCTGACCGCGAAAAGGAAGATCTTCATTCAGTTTGCAACCGTAAAAACTGGATTTCATTGCTCATTGTGGTGTGGAGGAGAAGGAATTTGGGAGATTTTCTTGATGTTTCATTTGTATCTCTGCTCCCCTCCCACAGCAAACTCTGCCAGTGGACCTGAGCAGCAGCAGCATTCGCGGTGGTGGAAACAGCGGGGCTAGTTTCCATGGCAGCACATCAGCCTTTGACCCGTGCTGCCCAGGCTCCACCTCGCGGCCTCCTACTTATGTTTCCCATGCCACCCCTGGGCCCAGCCAGCCAGCTGTGATGGAGTCGTTCAGCTCCACCTTGGTGGCTCAGCCACAAACGCAGCCCCAGCCCTGCAGACATTACATGCATCCATCTTGTGAGTAAACCACTGCTTCGGTCGTACAGGATACCCGGCATTCACTGCTGGTTTAGATCCAGAGGAGTTTTTTTTTTCCAAATCAAACTTCCCAGTATCTGCAGCCGTTGGATGATAGTTCATTTGTGGTGTCATATTTTAGTGAAAATGGTCATTTTTTCATAAGTTAATTGCTACCCAGAGTATTTCGGTACTGAAAGTGAAGCTGTTTGATGAGGCACCCTGGTGTAGCTGGAGTTGGTGCCTGCTGGTGCTTCTCCCTTCCTCCCTTTTGCCTGTCACTCCTCATTCCACAGCTGCTCCAAAAGACAGCAATAACATTTACACCAGAAAGAAATAAAACCTTAAAAAACAAAGGGATCTAAATTCATGGTTGTGATCTCTAATATAAAGCTTGTCTTATTGAATGTGATGTTTATATCTACAAACACAAAAATAGTTTTATGAGTAAGGATTGTTTTCCACATTGCCTGCTGCAGCCCTCAGCTCTGTGCCTCAAAGCGTTTGAACACATTTAATATAAGAAAAAGGCTCATTAATGAATCGCTGATTTCTTTATCACAACAAACACGGATCCCGTGGTTTCTTCATTTTCAGTGAGCTAAAGCTGCTTTTTTTTTTTTTCTTCTTTTACTTCCAGATGGCTCTCTAACACGTTCCCTGCATCATCAGCCCTCCTCAGCCTGCCCTCATTCCCATGGGAACCCCCAGCTTACACCTCAGTCCGCTCCTCAAGGCGAATTTCTCATTCCTCACACCTTTCACACACCACTGCCATCCCACCCGTCGGGTCATGCCGTGCCTCCAGCTCCTCCCCCTCCGCTGTCCGGCCACCACCTCTCCACTTCAAGTGCCCCGCTGGCCCAACACCTTCCCACGGACCACCAGACCCTGTCGCACCACATGCCGGCTCTGGGGCCTTCGGTGCAGAGGCTCCATCAGCACGAGATGCTGCAGAGGATGGAGGTTCAGAGGCGGAGGATGATGCAGCACCCTACGTACATATTGCTTTGTTGCACTTTTGTTATTTTTAGTCCAAAAAAGGATTCAGGCTTCTCTTAATGGAACTTTTTTTTTTTTTTTAATGCAGGCGAGCACACGAGCGTCCGCCTCCCCACCCTCACAGAATGCACCCCAACTATGGCCACGGACACCACATCCATGTGCCACAAACTATGTCTTCCCACCCCCGCCAGCCGGAGCAGAGGACAGCATGGTTGGTATCAGCCGGAATCAGCCTTACTTATCGGTGTCACATCCAGTGCGATCAATATTTCATGCGATAACAACTCTATGACTCCCTCATTTCATCCACAGCTGAACAGAGAACGTAGCGATGTAATAGTGACTGTCCCCCCCGTTTGTCCGCAGGGAGCTTGGCATCGAGGCTGGAGTACCCGTGGCACCGTACACTTCAGGGCACCTGCACTCCCACCTGCCCCACTACCACCCTCCCCCAAGACTGCACCACTTCCCCATCCCCTTTATAGTGAGGAAAAGCCTCGGCACACATGCATCACTTAGCATCCACGATGATGGATAATCTCCATAAAAAGTCTGTGTGAGATGAATTGTGCGGCCCTCCTATTTAAAACATTAGTTATTTCAGGGATTGTTCGGTGAATCACATGAATAATGCATTAGCAATTAATAGATCTCATCAAGCATTTCGAGTGCGCTCTCAACACATAAAGAAGGCTTGAGGCACACACAGCTCATCTTCCGTTGGGCTTTTTGGGTTTCATTTTGTAGAATGGATACATCGATAACCTTCATTACTTTACTTAAACCGATCATTTATTTTGACATCAGTCAGGATGAGGTTTTAGTAGTTCCACTAGCACAAATCTGACATTTCAACACAAGGTATTTTAGGATGGTTGTAGTCTGAGAAGATGTTTTTTTCTGTTGTGTCCCCTGGGTTAGGATTCTGTTAGCAAACTTGACTGTAGCTTTTTTTCCCCAGAGCTGACTGATATTTGCTCTCTTCCTCACAGCACACTGGCATTTCTGAAGTGACCTACCCGCACATTAGGTACATCTCATCGAGAATGACTGGCTTTGGAAGAACCTACGAGGTGAGCCCAACTCTGGTGTGACGACTGTCCCCCTGTTTCATGCCATCCGTCACATCACCACTGAACATTTTAACCCTGTCACAGTCTGGGTAGAACTGGATAAAACGGGGAAAAATAGTGTTTTTCTGTCCTGCTGTCATCAGGACCTGCTGCATTTAGAGGAAAGACTGGGGACTGTGAACCGGGGAGCCTCTCAGGTTACCATAGAGAGGTGCACCTACCCACACAAGTACAAAAAAGTAAGAGCCGGTCGGAGTGTGCACAACATGCTGTTTACTGTTTGCCCATGATGAATGTAGTTGTGCATGCATCTGTTACAGCGTATTCTGGGACAGAGTGTGCATTGGTCTTTTGTGCTCATTTCAAACCTCTACTGATTTTTTTTTTTAATCCAACGTTTAGAAAATACTGTAGTGTCTTTCACTAGAGATTTCAGCTGTCAAGATATTATTGAGGAAAAGTTTCCTTAGAGGTTTCCAAATGTATCTAAATAAGCAATCTAACACCCTGCCACCCAATACAGAAGGTGTTGGAGAGAGACATTGACCAACAGTTAACCCCTGAAGCTTGGGCATCTATTGGGAAAAATATGCACGCAGCCCCAGAATCGGTGAGAAATAACGAACAAATCAATTTGGGAACATGTCTCTGCTCACATGTACATAAGATATTAGTTTTATTCTCGGGGGCCAGGGAATTTGGCTACTAACTTTGATTTGAATGCCTTTGTTTTAGTGTTAGGGCAACAAGCAGAACATTTCTTTTTTTTTTCTTCCTTTTTTTTCTTCTATTTTTCTGTTTCAGGACAAAATGACCATTCTCTCTGTCCCCAAATTTTAACTTTGTTTTGCTGAAATGTTTGTTCTAATGGTAGTTTAACCTTTTTTAACTTAACTTTTGACTTTTATGCTTATGTAAAGTTTCATTTCAAGCAGTTTTCTATATTTGGAATGCTAGCACAGCACTTACGTTGAGCAGTTTGATTTGATAGGATTATTCAGCTTCTGTGATGGCACTGTGGAGCAGCTTTGCTGATCGATGCTTATCAGAAGTCACGCTCATGAACGTTTCTCACAAACAGAGAAAGCTGCATGGAAAGCAAGACGAAGACGAGGGGGCAGATGAAGACACGGAGGAAAAATGCACCATCTGCCTGTCAATACTGGAGGAGGGGGAGGACGTCAGGTAAATGCCTGCTCCCTGGTGTTTGGCACACCTTTGCATTTGTACAATTAGGCTTTGATGTGGCATCTCTGAGAGTCACACAGGTGGGATGACTGGTGCCGTTTCATTTTACCACAGTCTCGTGAGAGCTGTTTTTTTCTTCTTTTTTTTAATCCATTGCCTTTTTCGTCTCTTTAGAGGGAAAAAAACCAGCAAAAAACCCCCGAGGTATTCTAATAGTCAGCAGCGAAGTCCCAGTGTGCCTTAAATTACCATCCTCACTGAGCAGCTTTTTTACTATTACTCAGGCTTTTCGTGGAGAGTTTCTGCCCCCTGTTGGCACCAACGGTCAACGCATTTGCTTAAGAAATGGCTCCCCAGAAAAAACAGTGTGGATTTTAGAGATTGTAGGAGTGTGTTTTTTAACCATTTGAAGAAAAAAAGCTATTTCAGACTGATGCGACACAATTTAATCACATGTGATTCCCTGACTTTTATTTGCTTGTGAGTCTAAAAGTCTGTTTTACTCAAAGTGTATAGATTGGATTTTAGAGAAAGGATGCTCATGTCAGCCACAATGATGTGATGATTACGCCGTAACATGATTTGACCCCTTAAAGTTTTATTCCATGCCCTCTCTCTTCCCTGTGCCCCCCCCCCCCCACAGACGCCTGCCGTGTATGCACCTCTTCCATCAGCTGTGTGTGGACCAGTGGCTCCTCACCAATAAGAAGTGCCCCATCTGCAGGGTGGACATCGAGGCGCAGCTGTCTGCCGAGAGTTGATGCTGTTTTTTTCTAACACCCCTATTGTTTGTTCAGAATTTATTTTAAGATCATATTAATTTTCTCTTCAGTACCGCAGTCAACCAAAGATGGCATGAATTACCTGCGCAGCTCTACAACGAGAAAAGAAAAGAGAAAAAAAACTTAAAACACCTGACAAAAAAAGAAAAAAAAAAGCATCGAGCCTAGAGTGCCAGCTCTCACGTGATACTACAACAGCTAGAATTCTCCATTAAGGGTTTAAGATTTTATCGTATTTATAAAGCTTTTATGTAGCTTTCGATTGTTTTCTCAAGTGTCATTTTCTTATTTCGTTTCTCTGCATGTTTCCTCGCAATGCATTTCTTTGCACATATAACGTGGGCCTAACGCGGCCTAACAAGTTGCAGGTGAGGGTAGCTGCTCTAGTAAAGATGCATTTCTGTAAACCTAATGCCTTGCTTTACTAGAATAGAATGTCAACCTCCAGTTTTTTAAACAAAAAAAGAAAAAATAAACATTGCAGGATTCATTTTACCAATCATTGTATTGATTAGTTTATGTTTAGAAGATGTGGATTGTTAGTGAAAGCTGTTTTTTTTTTCTTTTTTTTTTTTTTTCTAAAGTAAATCAAGACATTCCTAGCTAGGAAAATATGTTAACAGATCAGCTGCTGTATTAGTGCACACCCAGTATTTCTAGAGTGGAAATAAACTCCATTGTTCACCTCATTCCCAGAATATGCACATGCTTTGCCACGATTACATCACGTCCTGCACCTTCATTTGACTACGACACCGTTACCACCACCATCTGATGTATTTTTAGAGAGCAAGAAAAAGAATGTTGCATCCCTCTCTTGACTGTTCTTTCGATACTGAGCGATGGTCGGGAACTGCTGTGAATCTTTTCTTTTTTGTTGGAGTTCCTCCCTGCAGACGGGCCTTCGATGCTTAGCTAGGTTTCTGTAAGTTGATCTCAGGCCTTCATGTGTTTAAAAGATTTCATACGAGCCTGCAAACTGGGATCATGTTCATTTGATACAGGCAGTTGCATTGACTTTTTAATCTCCTGTCTGTGTGTGTGTGTGCGCGTGTGTGTGTGAGCGAGTGAGAGTGTTCAGAGGGAAATGCACAGCTCAAGTTGAGAAAAAATATCTACTGTTTGTTCTCACACTTCAAACCATTTTTCCCACCCTCCCTTTTTGTCTCTCTGTAGTTGAGCAGCAGCGTCCTGTTTGTTGATGCTGTGGAAAGTGAAACACTAATACTGTTGACTAACTCACTCGCATAGACTTGCACAAGAGAGAAAAAGGCAGGAGAACAGTCGTGAATATGACAGTACGCTGAGGCCATGTATTTCCACTCTGATGAATACGGAAAAAAAGAAAAAGGTATTTTGAATGGAGTGTTGAAATGCCGTTATGAAAGCAGGTATCCATGCATTCATTGACTTACAGGCACCAGGATCATATTCTGTGGGATTTATATTAGTTTTGAAAAATAATATTAATAAACTTGGATAACTCTTGATGGAGTCCTTTGCTTGATGTCCTTTTTTAATTTTCGTCCAACACAGATGTTGAGTTTTCAGGTGATGTACATTGTCCCATCTCACCCTGTCCAAATTTGTTTTCTAATAAATAGAGGGAATGATAGTTTTTGTCTGCCATTTTCCCAGATTCTGGCAAATGTTTAGTGTGAAACTGTTTTTTCGTTATTTTTTTTGTTTGTTTCTTGGTCACTGTTTTTTAGTGCCTTTTTAAAGAAATATAAAAAAAAGAATTTCATATTTTGAAGCAGTCACTTTTTTCCAAAGCAGTTTGTTTTAGCACTTACTATTTTGTCAATTGGTCTTTTTTTTTCTCCAATAAACCCCCAAATGTATCTGCTTTTAGGGGCGTTGGCATTAAAGTCTGGTAAACATAGACATGTTTATCGTACTATGGTGTCTCTGCTTCACATATTAACCATGTTAGTGATTTGTGCTTGGAAAAAAAAGCCTGTGTCATTAATCATGATGCAAGGATTAAGCATTACCCTGTTTGATAAATCACCTTAGTCCTTTGTGTTCAGTCTTAGAAAGATGCCGCTTTCTCAAACTATTTGAGAATCTACAAAAATCTGGGAATATGGTCCCCTCAAATTATACCTCAAAAAGAGCTGTGCCGGTTCGTGACATAAATCATAGTTAAGGAGATTTTCGATCCTGTCCCTCTGGATGAAGCAGATAAAACATATAATGTAATCATGGTTTGGCTTGGTGTTGATTTAAAAATGTGCTAAGATATGCAGAAAACCACAAAGATTTTCCCAAGAACTGTTGCCTTTAACACTTCAGCCATGCAGAATTACACATAGAAGAAATTTAGTGAAGGAGGCCAAATTTCTTCATCACGTTCTGAACACTGACCCTGTTTTGAAGTTGACCTTTTACAGACTATTGCGATCAAAAAGGTCAACTGCAGTTCTTACTACAGCCACAAGATGGACGTAAAGCAAAAAAAGGCACTTTATCAGAAAAAGAAAAACACTTCTCTGGATCAGGATTAGGTTTGTGTAGACCTGGGTTCTCAGGTTTTAAATGTCTCCCTACTTCAAAAAAATCTGCTCCCTTTAGAACCTTGATGTGGACATTCAGCATTAAGATTTCTTAAAGTGCCCTGGCCTAAAATGAAATAATGTTTGGGGGTAAAGGTGCCAAGAACACCATAGATATAGTATATTGTTCATTTCAAAGCACGCACAGATACTGGATATCAGTCTAACATTGGTTTGTATTCAGGCTGCTGGCTGTCAAAAACAGGTAAATATTAACTGTCGGCTGCGTCTGATATTTTCTGCTGGTGCTTCCTCGTTGTGTTGCATTGACTTTTCCCCTGGCAACATTTACATGCATTTGCTTTTGTTACACACAGATGATTTTTTGCTTGGCTGCATAAGCGTTTATGACTCACTGAGCTGCTATTGGTAAACCAGACGGTAAGGTGCTTAAACCGTTTTCCGTTTAAACAGACTGTCTGTTTTTTGAAAACATATCTACCTGTTTACCACTCCAGATGGCCTCAATAGTTTGTTCCTTAATAACAGAAAAAGATCATATTTGGGAATGCCAACAAAAACATCCAGATGTGCTCTCTTGTGATAAAACAGAACAAAGAAGTAACAGATGCAGTATTACATGCTTTATTAAAAGAAACTTCTATTGATGTATATTGCACAAGGATGTGTGGAGCCACCCAAGACCAAAGTAACTTTAATGATGCAGCTCAGTGACAGAAGTCCCAGCGAGATTTGACTAACTACGGCATTATGTGGTTATGTGATTAAAAAGCAACCGAGGAATGTGAAAGTACTGCGACAGCAGTGCGAACCATGTGCAGAAACAGTGGAGCAGAAGCAAAAGTAGATTTTGCAGCGTGAAAAAAATAAAAAATCTTTCACCAAACACAACTTTTGTACTTGATAGAACAAGAAAAAATACAACATTCACCCAAGTTTGTGGTAACCATAACTAACATAGCTAAAATGGGGAAAAAAGCAGCCTTGTGAGTATGAAAAGCAGAAAAAAAGTATACTTGGATCTTTTAGATAAAATACAAAATTAGAAAAAAATTCATTTAAATTTTACCCAAAACAGGCAAACTCCTACATTTGAACACATATACAGAATCAGATCGATCCAAGTTATGCCTGTTTGTTATCACCTTTTCATGTAAACAATTCATTTTCATTACTATCTAGGCTTATTGCTAGCATGGCAATCTGTCCTTCATAGACTTGACTTACTGGCTGTGGCATGAACGAGTTAAGGTGTCTGTGTCCAAGGTAGTACCTGTACCAATAAAGTGCTAATACACCACAGACAGCACGCTCAGGTTACAGAAAATGTGATGTAACAGGACAACAGCAAAATCAAAAATAAAAAAAGATTTTCCAGGTGAATCACCACTTTACTGCAATGCCATCTGACAGCTTTCAGAACAGGCTATTAAAAACAATGTACATTGCTTTGGCATTTTAAAATCATTTCGTAAAAGAAAAATCACAGCGTTGTGATTGAATGGAAGTCTGTTCCTGGAGATACGGTTTGTGTAGTAAAATAAATATTCCTAGTACAGCGGTCCCTTCAGTTTGGACACCGAGATCACCGTGTTTCCTTCAACAATCACACCTTCATCTAAAAGCAACACGTTGAGGGTTAAAAATCACAGCCTGGTCCCAAACCAAAACCAGATCTCATTCCAGCGCTTCAAAAACGTTTGAGCTTAAATCCTCAGCAAGGTAATAATGACAGTTAGAAAAACAGGAAGCTATAAATACAATAAATAGTTTTGTTCAGTACTCAAAGGGACTGTGGAGCGAAACAGACCCTGGTGTCAAGCAGTATTCTGGTCTTCAGGGAGCCGCCCCGTTTCAGGCCCGATGGTCCTTTGGTCTGGTGGCGTGACTGACCGCTACATTCGTTGATATAAGGCAGTAGTGGAGGAAGTGTCTCACAGTGCTTCTCCTTCTTTAGGCTCCGCCCCCGTCCTCCGGGAGGGGACACAGCAGGCTAGTCGCCTTTCGCGCTGCAAACCGGCAGCCTCTAGATCTTTGTGACGTAGTTGTTGGGGAAAAGTCCCTGCTTTCCACGGAGCCGTCCAGTCCACCACCCGGATGCATCTGGTGATCGAACGGGACTCGGTCAGCACACCTCGGAAAGCATAGGGATGAGAACCGAGCTCTACGGGGGCCGCCCTTTCGGGCACTCACCCTCTTTGATCACGTCGATGACGTCGTTGGCGTTGAAGCTGAGCTCGTCCGTGTCCTGAGCGTCGTAGGCGTACAGGGCTTTGCACTGGGGCACCTGGGGTTTGGGTTTGGGCGCCGGCTTGGGCCGCCCCCCTCCCGGCTGGGGTCTCTTGGCTGACGGTCTATGGGCCCTGAGGTACACAAACAGATACCGCACCAGGGTCAGGATGGGCCGTGTCCGGCAGGACCCCGACGGGAGGTTCAAAAGTCAAGCGGCATGCAAATGTTTGAGCCACCTGGGTCAAAATTTGTGAAAACGGTGAAGATCTCAGTAGGGAGAAGTAAAAGATTGAGTTTATTTTCAAAAAGGAAAAAAAATGGCAGATGACACATTTGTTCAGTATTTGAAAGCAGATCATTTTTGAAAAAGTCCTTTACCGTTTCACAATAACAAAACTGTAAAAGTTTGGGCACCCAGCGTTGTCAGTATTAGTAGCAGTTGCTCAGACTGACAGCTTCTAGAATGCTTTTAGTCGTGTGTATCAATTCTTGTCTAGTATAACTTTATCCACTCTCCCTTTTAAAAGCATTTCCTAGCCATTTCTTGAGGTAGTCATATCAGATGACAATTAGATTTTTTATTTAAACCTCACAATTCATGAGGTAATCCATTGTGGATTTTGAGGAATGTTTAGGACCCCTATGCTTTATCTAGAAACAATATTCTCAGTTTGAACCCTTTTTAACTCATACAATGCTTAAAGAGATGATGACCCTATTTTACACAGTCCTGTACAAGTGCATGCATAATCACCATCCTGCTATATTACATTCACAAAAATACAACCTTTTAAACTAAGTTCAACATTGAGATTTACATTTCTTTTTCTGTTACTTAATAGTAAGCAACTTCAGACAGAAATTAGAGTTGGTGAGGATGCCTTTGTGCAGCTGTTCATATATGATCCACTAGATGGTATTCTTGTACATGCTCCTGCTTGGTTTGCACAGAAGAACAGAAACTTTACAGATTTTAAACTGAACAGAAAGAATTGATCCAGAGTTAGTTTTTAAATGAACCCTTAATCCAAATAAGAATGTGTGAAATGGGACTACTCTACTAGTTGATGATCATATCATTCAGAATACCCGATGACATGAGCTTGGTGTGAGTTATGCAGTTAGTATGTGCATGCAGCATAAAATAAGTGCCTTCATTGATATAACAAATACACTCCTGAAAGTCTAGCAAAAAAGAGCTATTAACTTAAAAGAAACTCAGCGGAAAAGGTGCTCAGGAGGGATTCTGTCACCTAATGGATACTTTCATAGTAGAAAGAAAGATCCATCATACTGAGAGGGAACTGTACAAAAGAAAACGTTTAAATAGAGGAAACTAAGCAGCAGTGGGAAATTAGATAGCAGTAGCCCACTATGTCGGGAGTTTGAACTAAAGATGTACAACAGAGGAAGTATCAGTGTGTCCGGCTACTCAAAGCTTCTCTAATCCTGAACCACCACCCAAAGCACTGCAAACACTCCAACTCACATTCCTCCATTTGATGCTGTCGGTCTGTCTCCAGTGCTACAAAAGAATGAATTAACCAGATTATGGCAGATTGCAGAAACATAAGCATTGGTATTAGCTTGTGGATGTGGTGATTTTTCAATATAACATCTATCAGTTCATGAAATTTGACTACAATCATTACTCTGAAGAGCAGACAGAATGATGCAGAAACCACATGCTGCATTGTTAGGTCCTTAAATGTGTAAGTCCATCATATTAATATATCGATGATACGATCAAATCCAATGGAGATTATAATACATTTCAACTTGACTGCAAATGCAACTTGAATACAAACAGAAACTGATGAGTAGGTGAGGGTCTGCATGAGCCACGTAAACAACTTTTCCTCCTTGTGTCAAACTAAAAAGTCAACGAAGTGCTTTCAGTGCCAGTTGCATAAGAAATAAAATGCCAAGCTGTCACCATGTTTGGCCATCTTGAGACCAGGTGATTTTCAAAATCCCAACTTAACCTTTCATCTCTCACATATGCGCTGATTGTTGTCTGGGTCCAGCATGACTGGGAGATTTTCCTAACACCGCTGCAGTTTTAGCAAGAAGAAACAGCTAAAGTTACTGAATGAATTACCCAGATCAGGGAAAAACAATTAAAATAAAAAGAATTTTCATGAGTTCACACTGCTTGGGGGAGACAAAAAGCTGCTCCAACACGATCAAAGAAGTATCTCCAGCTAACTTCACCACGCTCGAAGAAATGACTGTTCAGCTTCCTGTGTGTGTGTGTTTGTGTGTGTATTACTGAGGCTATGCCGGCCTGCACTGTGAGGATTTATGTCAGTCTGTGTGGGTGGCTCACCCCGCAGCTCCCTGCTCGGGAACCTTCAGACACTCCATGTCTGGCTTCCGCCGGCTGCCGCCTCCTTGCTCCCTCGGCTGGTTGATGTTGCTGGGCAGGAAGGGGCGATTCGAATGACCAGGGGAGGGTTGCCTCTGGCTGTGGTGCTGCGCGTTCCTCTGGTTGGCGGCGTGGTTGGTGTTTTTCAAGCCGCCGTTCTGGTGGGCCACTGCGGAGAGAAGACGCACAGCGATACGTCACAGACGGGCCGGGTGGAGGTAAGACGTGCCGCTAGGGCTGGCGGGAGGTGTGCACCTGGAGGTCCCGGAGCTGCTCGTGATGGGATGTTCTGGTGGGTTCTGGACATGTTGGGACGACTCTGACTGAAGCTCTTTCGAGTAGGACCTGGGATTTTTTTTTTATGTTGGAAAATCATCCGATAAAAATAAAGAAAAGAAACAAGAACTGTGAAATTGGGCATGCTTAAAAATAAGTTAATGTCAAATGACATTTAAGAACTCATTCACGTCCTAAATGACGTTGTGTTGAAGCTATAGTTTGTAAGAGCTGCAGCCTTTACTGGACTTTACTGGGCCTGCTCATACTCACGGGTATTCTTGGGAAGTCCCGGGCCAATGCTGACCTGCAGAGATTTGCTTGAAGGCTTCAGTACAGGCATGTCTCCCTGACCCTGCACGAACACCACCTGCCTGGAGCTGCCCCCACTCAGGAACCCCCAGTTCTCCTTCTTCAACTTCATCTCCAGTCTACAAACGGGGTATCAACGCTCAGGTGAGTGTTTTCCATTAGCAGCTGAACTGTGTCTAGTGCGTGGAGCGAAACTCTGTGGGCCGACTTACGTGTTACTAAATTTGAGTGGTAGCTTCCTCTGAGTTTTCTCCTCAAACCTCCGGGCCAGTAGGCTGATGAACTCGGTCTTGAAGACGCAGTCCAGTAGGCTGTCGTACTCCTGCTCGTGCAGTATCATGAAGTCGTCCTGCAACGTGCTGAAACCATGGACAAAGCATGAAAAGGGGCTTGTCACAACTTTTTTAAAAACCACAACTCTTGCTGTGATTAGAAACCAATCATGAAAAAAGAGAATGGCCATTCCCGCCATTTTTTCCTTCTTCTTCCACCCCCCCCTCCGCTTTGCTTTCATGAAAACTAAGATGGGAGAGTCGGCTTTCACATTTGCATCAAGAGCCTCACAAAGAAGCTCTCATCTGAGGACGGAAGACAGCCTGTGCCCGTAACTCACACAAAGATACTTTGTTCCTCCCAGTGAGGTGGAGTTTTTCTCTGATGAGCTTTTTACAACTCCTGCCTTTGCTCATTGCGCCACCTGGTCCATATTACCCCACTGACTCAAAAGCCACATGCTTGCACCAACTCCTCTTCCTCAGAAAGAGGTTTTACAGAGTTCCCATCAACAACAAAGGGACCACAGGCCTTTCAGTCGCTTTTATTTTTGACGTTTTCCTCGTAATAAACAAATCTACATTCTTTTGTGAAAATGTTTTGGACTGTGTATCAGCCGCAACCTGTTTTCAATCAGGTCTGCACACACAAACAAGCACGGGTAGCTTTAACACGCGACACATGTGTTCAGGGTCCCTTGTGAGCACTCCACAGAAAAATGGAAACTTGTAGGACTGGAAATGCCAACTGTGGCTCTGAATGGAGATTCATGACTTCCTGCTGTGCGGCAACTACAGCTTGGATGCTGAGTATCAGAACCGGCACAACCCATTGTCTCATTTTTGAAGCAAGTGTCTACCACACAAATGTGTGATGGAGAACTTCGAGGTTTGGCTGTTGCGGCTTGACCCAGTTGTGGCTCGATTTTAGGAATACAGGATGATCTGACAATTGTGATGATATAAAACATAAAAACACACATCCTGAATGCTGCGTCGCTTAGGCGCCGTCCTGCCTCTAGGCCGCATCCCACTCACTTTTCAAATGCCTTTGTGACCTTAAATTGCTCATTTTCACTGAAGCCAAACATTTTAATTTCCCATCATCACAGAGAAAATCAGAAGGCCATAACCTGAAAGCTGAATGTGACATGTTTGCCATCTGAGACCAACAATATCTATTTTTTTTTATACCTGAGTGACACCGCCAAAATCTTCTCGACATCTATCCGCCTCTTTAGAACCTCCATCACTTGACCTTTCTCTGGTCCCTCTTTCATCTTTTCTCTTCCAATCAGATACACAGATTTAGGGGTCAGGATCAAGTCTCTCTTAATGCCCTAAATATGAAGAAAAAAAGCAAACATACATTTTTAAAATTTTTTTGATTAATCTTCTTCTTGGTTGTTGGCACAAAATCAATTTAAAAAAAAAAAAAGAGGAAAACAAACCTTGAACCGGCGATCATATTTTGTAACTTTGTCTGCAAAGTCAATCTTTTCTCTCTTGCCGAGAAACTTTCGAAGCTCGGGCCTGTCATCCATACCAATGTAGTCACCCACAAAGTTTCTGTTCAGGCTGTGTCGCCGCCGCTCTTTTCGGTTCAACAGCAGGTCAGAGGCTAAACGAGAACCCAGAGAAAGTGAGATATGAGGACACACATGGAGGGGTTCATTCAGCAGGAAGCGGCCGCTTCACTCACCTTCTTCCCGCATCTGAACATACTTCTTGCGAGCCACGTATTTCCTCCAGGCTTTCTGGATGGTCCTAGCATAGCCATCAAACTTGCGTTCCCTTGTCTCTTCAAGTAGAAAGAGCTATGAGGAGAAAAAAAAAAGGGTCAGGACTGCATCCAGTCTGGAAACCTCGGTGTAAAAACACAATGATCCAAAGGAATAACCGCACAACATGAAATGTCCACACCCAAAATCATTTGTCTGTCTCCCTCTTTTTCTCGGGAATAAAAACTTCTCATCACTTTAAATCAGGCGTATCAAGTGAATATCTTCCGAAATGACCATAACTTTACGATGACACGTTTGTGCTATCCAGCTCACTGACTGCTTGGAAAAGATGAGCATAGCTCACATTATGTCCCTCGTCATTTTGTGGACCTTGTGCTCTGTCTTGTAATTTCCAATATTTTGTTTTTTTTGTTGCTGTGTTTTTAAACCAGACACGAAAGACCAGTGCGTGTTCAGATGATACGGATAAAAACAGTTCATTGTGGCAAAATAGTTTCACGCCATATTAAACCCACACTCCTCAATGCTTTCTTCAGTGTTTGGATAAGAGTGGTACTCAATGGATGCTTTACATCTATGTACATCATGCCGAATGAATGATTAAATAACAGAATGAATGAAAGAATGAATGAAGAGGCTTTTCACTGAAATGATGCTGAGTGCTGTTATACAGAGACAAACAATTTATCTCCTCAGATGTAAAAAAAAAAAAAAAAGGCCAGGTGTAGTTTTTTCTCCTCCCCCTTTTTGGTCTGTGCTGCTTCTCTAAAATCAATAAACTCATCGGGACATCATGTGCCAACAGACCATCAGACTTCCCAAAAGTCTATCATTTCCTGCTGGACTCCTTAACACGCAATCACACTCTCTGCCCGCTCCCTGCCAGACTAAACATCCTGTCCACGGCTGTAACAGGCCTCGCTTTGACGAGGCTGACCGCGGGCGGCGCTGCGACGTCACGCAGCCCAAGTAGGGCCAAACACAACACAACGAGACGGAAGAAAACTCGAACAAAAATGATGCGAGCACATAGAGGCAATGAGTCACAAGCTGGAAGTTTGACGTCACACACAACCCAAAGGATGTTTTTTCTTTTAGTTTTGCCTGGTGTAACTAAAAAATGAAAACTGACTTTGTGATCTTTTTTCAAACCCTTCAATCAAGAATTTAAGAGTGATATATAAAAGGTTCAAACAAACGTTTTGTGGCACCTTGCTGCTCAACAAGAGAGAATGAATCATGTAAATAGTTACAATTTGGGTCTCATATCAAAGAACAATAACTATAATGACCAGTGTGCTCATCATAGTTATGTATAAATATTATTAGCAGCGGTTAAACGCAATTGATCAAAAGTTTGTTATGCTATTCCTTACTTTTCAGCTATCTCCCTCGGGATAAATAAAGCATCTTGAGTCTTAAAACTTCATTAGCGCATTGAGTGCTGCCAGATAGCTGCTTAATAACAAGAAAGAAGAAAATAATGAAGTTGTTTGAATGGTATTTGACACGACTTTGAACCAATTCGCATACAAATGACAGTTCTCTATTTAGGACTTTTCAATTCAGGGAGACATCTGCCTGGCAGCAGGCCATGAAAATCTATCGGCACTTTAGGAGAGAAACTTCTGCAACATCTGGCCTGGCGTCAAACAAATTTAACTTATTAGATCCAGCAGGAAAAAAAAAAAAGCTTCAGTCATAAAACTAATTGGCTGATGTCAGTGTCTTATCGGACAGAGGCTTGTTTTGAGAAGTCTGGCAGCACATTTCAGCGCTTTGCCCCGTGTGATATTTGTATTTCATTAACACACCTCAATGACTTGGACTCTTAGTCTGGCAGCGTGGGGGGATGGGGGCGAGCTTGGCTGTGATAAATGACTACAGGCATTCAGGATCAGCTCAACCCTTCTGAATTAAGACTGAGATGTCTGTGTGTAAGCCTCCAAACATAGATCTGTGTGTCAGTGCACGTGCGTGCTTGTTCATGCTTGATGTGTACAAATGTTAATAAGCCAGAGCGAAGCCTTCATACAAGTGGCGCTTTCATAAGAATCGTGAAAAAAGTAGCTATGCTGGAAAAAAAAAAGTCTTTATGATATCCCCCTCAAACTCTGCAACCACAGCCCCGGCTCGTGTTTTATTTTCAGAGCAGTGTTGACTCAGCACTGACGTGGTGCAAGGGCCCAGTTCAGTCTCCTCCCCTACGACAAGGACAGACGCGTAATTTGGGACATTGCTGCCTTTTATGGCGATTGGAGTATAAATGGGGGGCCCGAGTTTCCCCACTGTGTCCAAACAGGCCTGCAGCCATCACGACAAACGTTGCGAGTTCTGTACTGGTGCACGAAGGCCTCCTCTCTGCTTTGCTGCTAATCTTCCTGGACATCCCCTTTCCAAAAGGCGAAACATGACAGTCTGAAAGGAGTACGCATGGGAAACGCACCGACTCGGGGGCTTTGATGAAGATTTTGGTGCGGCCGAGCTGGAACTGATCTTGGTCCATGTTGACGGAGCGCAAGAGATGCAGGACACCTTGTTTCTCGTCTCCTCGCCACGTCGGCCAAGATTCGGTGGTCAGGATGGCATACCTGAGGACAAGAAATGCCAGTTACAAGCACCTTCAGTGACATATTTCTTCATTTCCTGTGAGAGCATCCTTTCTGTTTTATGATGCCAGGGAAGACAACAATTACAGCCTGCAGCTCAGATCAGAATTTGCCGAGGTGTGGTACCTGTTGAGGAACTTCTGGAAGACTCTGCGATAGGCGTAGCCAGCACGCCTCACCCTGATGTTTTCCTTCAGACCCAGATACTCCACCTGGTGCTTCACTCTGAAGCCAGAACGCAAAGTATAAATGACAAATCATACAGATAAAGTTTGTCACATTGCACATCATACATTGTACGTCTTTCGTCATTGTCTGTTGCGTTTTCATCTCGCCTTGTGAGTGCTTCAGCTATTAGCTTTGTTTCAGAAAATCTTTCCACGGCCCGTAAAGCTCCCGCTCCACTGGCGGAAGCGATAATTGCAAGTCATTGTATTCAAAACAGTTGCTTTTACTGACTTTTTCCTTAAACAAAAGACCTTCAGCACTACTTGGTACACTCAGACTTCCTTTGAAAACCGTGGTTCCGTTGCTAATTAATGAGCCACACTGAACTCCGCTCACAACAGGAAGGTCATATGTTCCGAACAATGCGACATCGCTGTGTGTGTGAACATGCAGTGCCCACAGTCTGAAGAGAAAAGAGTGGGAAACTGACAAACGCATTAAGGCTAGGGGGATTCCTTAAATGTGCCCCATCCGTTAGCGTAACAGAAAAACAACAACACAAAAAAGCGGGAAGGACTCAAAAAAGAAGAGCAACAATTTTCTGTTATAATTTGTGTTCCCCGCTTTAGACTGAACTCCATTCAGAATGCAGAAATTACCAATGTAAGATATATGAGATTGCTAATGGATAAATTTGAGATTTAAGTGGTTTTCACTCATTTTATTTTAATCCCAGATTACATTAATTAAATCGGTTACTACATCACGATATATTTTTCTCTTCTTGTTCTCTCCAATGCTAATCCTCTAACGGCAACTTGCATTATATTTCTTATGACTCTTTCTTGTCACTGCATTGTGAAGTGAAGTCTTAAATCTCTTCACATGTTCTACACCAATGGCACAGTTATGATCCTATTGGTTCTACATGTTGTAATTGTGTGATAATTCTGTATTCTAAAGTCAACAACAGTAAGTCTTGATTATCCCGTGACAGAGGCTTAAAAGCAAAACAACACATAAGTACAACCAGCAAGTATAAACACGAAAAATACTTTAAAAATTAAGAATAAAATAAAAAAAATTATTCTCACTACTATGGAAATGAATAAGCTTTGTATTATTGGTCATGAGCCTCCGAGTCCTACAACTATTCCCTTATCTATTTCCCTTTGGTAAAATTCTACTTAACCAGAAATCCATGGTGTTGTTTTTAACTTAATCTGATGTCATCACTTTTAATCTAAAATAAATAACAGATGGCCTAAAATAAACCAGCAGCAAGGAGGGAACTTGTGTTTGAGACAACAGGGGACACAGTGAATGAGTCACCCACCGTCCCTCCTCCCAGTCTTTGGGTTTTTTGGTCTCGTTTGGTTTGATGCAGCGGATGTAGTGTGGAGTGCATTTCATCAGCGTGCTCACAAGATCATTAGCTTGTTTCTAAAGGGAGGAGTTGGAGAAAACATCAGGAAAGAGGGGAGGAGATGGAGAGAGTCAGACAATGACGGCAAACACATCATCTCTACGGCTTCCCCCCACATTTATCCTAATAAGGAAAAGTGATATAACACACACCTTTATTTTGCTGCCTGCTGTAGTGGGTCGACCCTTCTTGTCAGCATTGAGGTTTTCTGGAAACAGCGCTCTGATGAAGGCACTGTGAGAAGAAAAAGATGAAGAGTGAGGACTGACAGACGCATAACAGCCGGTTCCCTGGCAGCCCAAATGAAAAATGCAGTTAATCATTAAGGAGCCAAGGACCTTTGACTAAGGTCATCAGTTAAAAATTTCTAAAACATTTGGGAAGGTCGGCATGGGGGAGGCTGGGAAAACACAAGGGGGTTGTGTATTTGTAAAAACGGCTCTGAGCAGCAAATATTTGCAAGGCCTCCTCTGTACAGGGGAGCAAATGTTTCTATTTGGATGCATAACTGACTGAAATCACTTCTATGATCAGGAATGCAATGAAGAGAGATGAAAATGCATGCGTTCAAAAAAGCATTCACCTATTTCAGTCTGTTTAAAACACTGCCATTTCTGACAGTTACATTTTGATGCTTGTAATCTTTTTTAACTCTATCCAATTTCTGACTTTCTCTCAGTTTGTTTAGTTTTGAACTTCTGAGACAATTCTTGGACACAGAAGAAAAGGGAACAGCAGGTTGTTTGTGCAGATGAAAGTCTGCTGGACACACAGGTCACTCCTTTCTTCTCTAAACAGATCTGCGTCTCAAACTAACAAAAAACACTTCTCCTCTTTTACTTTCATTTTGTGATCCTTATCTGCATTTGTGTATTTTCAGAACTCTTTATGTTCGTTTGATTGCCTTCTAATCTATACATTTTTAAGGCGCGTGTCTCAGTGGGACTTGGGTATAGCCTACATTCCAGCCTAACCAAACATGCACACAAAAGGAAGTCTGAGGGGGCAGCGTGGACAATGCAGGCTGCTTGCACAGATGGCTACTTTAACAAAGGAAAAGCTCACAAAATCAAAGCAACGGGAGCCCAAACTCAACACCCAAAGCAGCCTGCACTCATAAGGACAGACTGCGTAGGTTCTGAGAGCCGCATAATGGTACAGATGCCAGACGAGACTCAGGTCAGAGGTCACAACCTCACTCAGCCCTGCACACTTCTGCTGCATCCCGCCAGTTTTCTGCAGCTTTCATTCAGATGTGAACAATTCTAATTACATGCATCGCAACAGAAGACTCCCTTTAATTGTTGCACTGTAGAAATCCCGGCTACAAGTTGGTGTAATGTGCACATATGAGTTACTTACGTCTCACTGCTCTGCATCAACTCAATGAGGTCAGTAAAAAGGACGTCTCGGTTCCTCTCGCAGAAACCCTCGGCGTCGTAGGACACCTGCAGGAGAGGCAGGCAGATGGACTTTCTTCAATAAAGTCACTGAAAACCTCAAGCAAAAAGGAAGATGATGCCCGTGCGAAGCAAAAATTGGAACCGATATTTCTGGCCTAAATCACTGACTTGAATTTTTTTTTAGGGGAAAATAAATGAGGGGTTTGGCTATTTTCACCTCCCAGGATTAGCCTCCTTGTAAAAACCAGCAGTGGTCTGAAAGTGTATGTTATTTCTGCTACACTGTAGGCTGAGAGAGGAGGAATGTTTTGAGCGCAGTCATGGGAGCCCCTCAAGCTTTAATAGCACGGCTCATTAAGCCTGCGGCATGTGTGCCAGGCTGAGGCATCACACATCTGGAGAATGACACCAGACAACCTCAGCCCAGACCACCGAAATCTGCATCAACACAAAAACCCATGTGGAAAGCATAACATCTGAGGGGACTTAAACTGATAAGGATGTAAGACTTTGATATCACTGTGTATCAAAGAGTGAGCAGTGAGTTTTGAGGTGGACCTCTGGAAAGGATAAAAAGCATGACACAGACCCCAAAATTGAAGCCCCAGCTGCATAACTGGTATTTATGACAGATCATACAAGTGCAGAGGAACAGCTCCCTTTCCAAAACCCATAAAAAAACATCTATTTCTAGAAGGGAACCTTCAGCTGCCTACTTAGCTACTTTGTAGTTTCTTTAACAGCTGAGACCAGAGCAAGAACAAGTGAAAGGAGGTGCTGAGAAAAATCTTCATGATCATCAAACATTACATTTCAGCAGGAAAAAAATAGCCAGCGGTCAATTTGAAATCAGATGCGACACAAATCCTCCCCACCTTTCCAGCATAGTGATGGATGATGAAACCCTGGTTCCAGCTGTTGAAATGCTCGTGTGTGTTGATCTGGACTCGGAGCTTCTGCAGCATGGTCTGGTCGGCGCCCTCGCCCACTGCATGCATGGTGGCACACACATCGTCCAGGATGCACATGACACCCGGGGGATTCTGAGACAACAAAGAAGACACCTGTGACGACTGAAAATCTATTTTCATATTTGATCGACAACCGAGACGTCCCCTGAAACCAAATATGTGTTCAATATGAAGAAGAGTAATGTAAAAAGACCAGTAAGACATTAATGTCTTGCTGGTCTTCTCAGTTTTCATGGACTAAACTGAGACGCTTTAGTGTTTTGGTAGTTTCTTTATAGATTTTTTCACTACAATTATCTATAAAACAAAAGGGAATAGAAACATTTAGATACAAACTAAGGATCTACATGAGGCGTGAAAGATGTGCAACCGGCAAATTCCTCAGGCAACAAACAGTATTGAAACTCTTCAGTATACCCACGGTGGCCTCATTAGGACCTTTTCGAAGCCTCACCGAGCATCGTGCCAACGCAGTCTTGTTTTGGTCTGACAGAGCACCGTTAAAAGGACACATGCTAGTTTGTGTCTGGATTAGGAAAAAAAGAACTGATCCCCCTGCCCCTCTCAGACGGAGGCTTGTTTTAAAACCCTTGACGTGGATTTCGTGGATTAGGCTTCTCAGTAGGACTGATAAATCAAATTAAGAGGTGTATTGGCAGATTTGAGGATATCAAGCTCGTAGCATAGCAGGAGACTTGGCTAAAACTGTTGTAAAACAATATCAAGAAACAGAGTTTACAGGTGTTTTAAATAAAGAAAAGATAGATGTTGTTTTCCTATCATATCCAAATTCGAGCAGATCCCAAGTTCAGCTGAACTATTTAGGATCATTGCTATGATCATATAGCTATGAGCAATGAAATCTACGAAATAAAATAAGTTCAATTGTCCTCCTACATTCAAAGGCAGATTTTCCATGTTGAAAAACCTTTCACTCCAGGTGAGTGTTATGAACTAAGTTGTGTAGTGCATTTAATACTTTACTGTGTATTTACTTTGCTCTCGATGAGATCGCATACAATCTTGTTGTTGAAGTAATCTATAGGAGTCCACTTGATCCCCTCCTGCACATACTCCTCCTACAAGGCATGAAAAGGCTAATTAAAGTAACCACAGAAGCAGGAACCAATGAAAAAGCACCATTAATGAGGGAGTGAAGAAATATCACCTGCTCCGCCTTTAGAGTCAGCTCAATGAAAATCTGCTGGAGCTTCTCGTTGACAAAGTTGATGCAGAACTGCTCGAATCCATTTTTCTAAAAGAGATAACAGAAGTTATAAAAATGCATACAGGCTTCAAGAGAGGGAGGATATCCTTTGAGCTCAATGGGCTTTGTGTAGAGCAGAAGCTGTCTGCAGCCATGCTGATGTTGGAAGAAAGACACATTGTGTGTTTCAAAGCAAATATAATGACAACAATGTGCATCTTCCTGTCGACTGACCGATGCACACCAAAATGACCTCCTGTGACAGAAACAAAAGCTTCAAACTAAAACAGACAAAGCTTGAACAAAGAATTATAACACAGCGTAAAGCGGTGTAGTTGGAGGAATAAAACCCAGTCAGATTAGGAATGCTGCTGTCTCAATCAGGAGATGAGACTTAATCCCCATCCTCCATAAATTAGTTTTATCCCTTGGATTAAATCTGTTTAAATGCTTAATGTTAATTCCAGTTAATCCAATTCATGCGTTACTGCTGAGAACAATCCAGAAAGTTAAAAAGCTTCAAAAGCAACAACAACAACAAAAAAACTGACCTGGAAAATTTCAAATCCATAAATGTCCAACACTCCGATATTCAGCTCCTGATGGTCCTTCACCATGGCCTTGTTGATAGACTGAAATCAAAGGCTCACTCTCAGTGCATGCACATCACAGGCTTCAGACTAGGACTGCCCTTCAGCAGACAAAGCTGTACTCATACCTCAACCAGGAAGTCAAACACACGTGAATGCAGGGCTTTGGAGAGGGCGTCCCGTGTGTAACAGGCCTGCTCCACATTTAAGGTCACGTCAATAGATTCCAGCGCACTTCCCCACTTGCTGTCCATCTTTCTGCTCGTCAGCTTTTCTTTCAGACGCTTCTGGTCAATTCCAAGAAGAAACGCGGGGAATGCTAGAACTGAAGACAGGAAATATTAAGCACAGGGATGAATAAAAGTGAGGCGATGTTTGCCTGTTTGCATGAGGGAGTAGAAGACTTAGAACAATAATGGCTCTTCTGAAGTGCTTTCATAGATTTTCTTTGGACATTTCCGTCCATTGATTTTATGCTTGTTTCAAGTTGTTATTAAAATAATAGCTGAAGAGATCACTAGTCCATCAGAGTCAAAGAGCCACATAGAAGATACACAATAATTTATTCTAACACTTACTTCTAGCCTTGACTTAGTCACTAATTAGCCATGACATGTACACACCATCACACACGAACAATTCATTTGAATGTTATACGTAGATGATATGTTGAGTTACTTAATACTGACAGATGAATCATCCAGGCACCAAATCTATACTGAAATCAACAGATGAACCCCTGCTGTGTCATAACTGAGTACTTTGCAAGGAAACTTGTTTTTAAATATAAAATCTTTCAGGCTTTGCTACTGGCAGATCTCAGCTTACATTTCAGGAAGTCATAGAGTAGCTAAATAAAAAAAGTTTTAAAAAAAGAAGAATAGTGCAGGCCTAACACTTGAGAGGTGGGGTTGGGGGGGGGGTGGGGGGGGTGTGGGTGGGTGACGTGCCTGCCTATTTTTGTGTTTGACTATTTGCCACCATTTGCCACGACCTGGCGTTGATATTGTCCCCGGAGAACCCCTCCCTGCCTTATTACAGTGACTCACTTCCCCTAAAAGGAAATAGCTCTCAGGCCTGCAGACTCACTGTGTCTGGGAATGCATCATAGCACTGGAGTAGCTCCACCTCAGGGACATTAGGGTGTGACTGACCATACGCCTGCCTCAGCCATCCTTTATGTTTGGACGGAAAGGTATGGATTTTACCTTGTGGCCAAGATGCTTTTATGCGTTGTTTAAGTAACTTTTGGGGACAATACTCAAATGAGACAGAGTCTCCCGGAAGTGTTTTGCTAGTCAAAGCAGCGGTGGACGTGAGGAGCTATAGATGTGAGCTGCTGTCCACTCTAAAGTTTCACAAACATGTTTCACCCTAATCAAAGATTTGGCTCCAACATTGACCCTGCCAGCTAACATATCCCCTCAGCTCAGCTTCCAAGAAAACTATTGGATAAAGAACAATTTGCATGTTTTGTGTCTGCTGTTACAGGTTAGGGTTCAACCAATCAGATCAGATTTGACTTTTTCAAAGAAACAGTTTGCTTAAATCTTGTTTTTAGGTGAACTCATTTAAATACACTTTGGCAAAGAGTGCACTACAATGTGTTTCAAGGGAACTTTAAAAAGATTGGAGATAAGACAGTAAATAAAGGCTACAGAGAGGGCTAATATCAGATGAATAATTATTGTTTTGACCTGGTAATCATGCAAGGTACTCCTGGGGATTCTCAGATTAAAAATAAACACATAATAGGTCTCCTTTTCAGTGTACAAGTCAGTGAAGTCAGTGTTTGGTTTGATACTGGGGCCTGAGATCAGTACGTCAATGCGCAGCAGCAAAAGCAAGGGGGGAGACCAAAAGGACCAGGAAAGGCAGAGATTATGAAGTACGGCCGTTACGTCTGCGCTGAACAGACCCCGGCTTTGTCCGCCGGCTCTCATCTGCATCATACCGATCCAGCATAAGTAGGGGAGGGAGCAAAAAGAAAAGAGGACAGAAGAATAAACGAAGTGGAGACAGAGGGAGAAGTATTTTCCAAAAGGTTTTAGCCTCTAATGAAATAAGTCCTGACCTGCAATAATAGCTTTTTATTTTCTGGTAATCTAGCATGAGCTGCAATACTCCAGACAGCTGGCTGCACCCCTGCATTAACACAGTAAAACTTTAGAAAGTAGTAAGAGAGAAATATCCCCCCCAAAACCATCCTGAGAAGGCCAGCTGAGGACACAGAGGAGAGGAGAGTCATACCACGATTCAGTGCCAGCATCGTTAAAACCGCTGAAGCAAATCTGTGACTTTTAACAGTGCTGCAGCTCTGCGAACGCTCGACACTCATCCATTACTTGGATCCAAAGTGAAACATTTCAACAATTGATAGATAGAAGGAGAAGTAGCCCTCTGTCGATGTGCATTATGGACTCCAGATGAATCACTCTGACGTCCTTAAAAAGGATACAAATGTTCCACGGTGGTCTATTCGTGGCTGGCTATCTAATCTTAAGCACTAAACCAAAAATAAACACTCTCAAAAAAATGTTCACGTGATCATTGCCGGCTGCTTCCCGTTTGAGATTTGAACTCTTTCTGCGAGCTTACTTACACTCTTCACTCTCCACAGCGGCATAGTTGCCCGATTCCTTGAAAGTGATGTTTCCCAGGTGCAGGACTCCGGCCACGATCTGAAGCACCATGGAGCTGTCTTCTGCTGTGATGCCGATCACATCCATGGCATGCTGAGAAGGTGGAGGGGGAGGAAAAACAACATGCTAAATCAGGGCAACAGTGTGGTTACAGAGCAACTCCTGTGAGCCTGTGCCCTCTAATTACTCCTGTTGCGGTCGCACTGGTAAACAACAACAGTAGGGTATTGTTGGAAAAGAAAACAAAGGAAGATGGCCTGGGAGACACAGGAATGTAAAATGAAGTCTGTGAACTACTGGTGAAGGGATTCACAACCAATAAGGGTTGGCTCAGTGGAGAGATCACCACAGCTTCCTACCACTGTCTCCTGGAAGTCGCTCTTGTCGTTGATGTCGTCCACTTTGTAGGAACCGGACTGGTTGAGGTAACTGTAGTAATCCAGGCTGGTGATTCCCAGGCTGTTCTTCTGCTCTGCGCTGGCTCCTTCGATCAACTGCGAAAAAAAATGTTGTGCATCAAACTGTGTGTGCCTTAGTTACAAATGTGTCATGAACATGAACATTCATGAAAGATTTGAACTCCTTTACAACTTTTATACATTAGACTTATATTTGTTTACTGTGTCATAAATTGTCCAAGAATGGAAGTTTGTAAATTCTTTTTTTTATAATAAAACTTCAAAACAACAAGAAAGAAATCATAATTTCTACATTCAAAATGACAGAAATCCTAGCAGTACATGCACATGATATTTTTCCTTAACCCGTTCCCCGTGCTTTCCACTGTGTGAGAAGACAATTGTGCTCCTCTATGGGGTTGTTCAGCACAACCCACTTTTTTTCGTTCACATCGAATCCAGTATGTCCAAAAAAATACCCACCTGATAGAATATGTGGAAACTTCTTTCACCAGGATTTCTCATGACGACACGCGACTTTTCCAGAAGGAAGTTGGAGATTTTACCTCCGTCTGGTTCACCACCGGAGCTGAACTGGATCTCAAAGTATTTCCCCTTTTGGATCAAAGCAGATTTTAAAAAAGAAAAAAAAGAAATGTGTCAGGCGGCAGTAAAGCTTAAAAGCCACAGCTATATGGTCTCATGTTTTGGCACCTGGTTGTTTTAGGGTTATTACTGGGTTGTGTGACTGAGTGTACATTTATATATAAACCTGATCCTGCCTTTTTTACTTGGTCTGGACACCAGACAAGCCTGTAATGTAATATCTGTTTCAGGCAAGCAGTGAGCAAAGGCCCGGAACTGAACAGACACACTATATGTTGTGATCTCAGCCCATTTGTGCCAAACCACTTATATGTAGTCAAAAGTGGTGAGAGCACTTTTTTGGGGAGAAAGCTTTATATGCAAATCTGAACTTTTAGGGAGTGATCCCTGCCAAAATGTTCTAATGAAAGCCAGTTCCTACAGTTGGTTTTCCCCAATTTTTCAAGCCTTTCTAAGCAGAAGAGGACGTTTCTCCGTGGTTTTTCATGGGTGTACTTCTGCACAGTGTGTCCTCACAGCACTTTTGGTTAACCAGGACACACATTAAGGATTGCTGCTTCAAGCATGAGAACAGAAAACTAAGAGGAGGTTTTTGTTCAAAACCCTTGGAGCCAAAAGGTAACGTGTCGACCTTGCTCGGTTCGGAACATCAGTTTTTTTCATTTCTTATTTTTCTGTCAGCTACTTCCATGTGTTTTTGCTCTTCAACAAGGAACCGTTTTGTGTTGAGAAATTGAGATTCATGCAAAGTGGTAAGCTCAACAGAAAAATGGGGCCTTACAAATCTGCTGGAGTTGTTGTTCCTCACAGTCTTGGCATTTCCAAAGGCCTCTAGCAACGGGTTGGACTGCAGGATGATGTCTTTCACGTGCTGCGGGGAAACAGATACGACATCACACGCAGGTAGAGACAGCACGACACTTCACTCCCTGCACACTCCTCTGGTACTTTCCACTCAGCTATGAGCATGCCTGTGTGTATGAACACACGCACACACACACACAAATGCAAATCTAAAGACAGCAGACACACAAAGTCTGGAGGACATTATCTTTCCAGTGAGGCATATGTTTGTTAGAGACACATGGGTTTTAAATCTGTCCAGCAGACGGAGAGAGTCTCTCTTTTATTAATGTTCACAGGAGTGGAGAGGAATGTCTCTGGGTCTAAACGTAGTGCCGGATGAAAGGAGCTGATAGGTACTTCTGTTTACAAGTACATTTTAAATTTCCTTACTTTTCACTGTGAAGTTCAGACCCCAGTTTGGAAAGACATAGTTTTTAAAAAAGGCGGGGAATTACTCTTATAGGAACATGCTTATTTTAAGTTCTCTTTTAGTACGGTTTTCCTGTATTTTCTGTGAATGCTTTTGTCCGGTGAGCTAAACAATCTGTGCGAGAGCAAAGATAAAATAATGCTGAAAATTTATAGTCTGGAGAAGAAATATCTGTGTTAAATTTGGGTAATTTGACGGTCACATTTGTCTATTAAAGAACTCGGTACTGGTTCTACTATTGATGAGCCTGAAAATGTTTTCCCAATTCCATCTTGGTAAAGCAGTCTGGGTGGATTAAACAAAAAAAAACCCTCTACGATCATGGTGTGGGCATTTCCTCATCAAACTTCTGATCTTTATCGGGCTTAGTAGATGGGCATCTGCCGGTCTGGGGGGGCTCACAGATGGCTGAGAGGGGGAAGGGCATATAAAAGACTGCTAAAGAGCTGATGACAGAATAAATAGGATAGCAAGACAAAAGTTGGGACTGGGGGACAAACCACTGCAAGAATGGACTACCAACAGGTTGTGTGATTTACGCCATCTGTTGTCCCAAATCAAATATTTATACTGGTGCAAGCAAGACTGAACAAACAACTCTTAAGAGATAGACAAATAAAAATCTAAAATGAGACACAGTTATTGCAAAAACCTAAGCTTGGTAATTAATTTGAGAGTTTTGAATTAGCTCATTCAGTTACAAAGACTGAACCAACAAGGGGAATTTAAAACCATTGGCTAAGCTTAATCCAAGAATAAGGCACATTGGTGCCTGTAGGTTCACAAATGAGACTCAGTCCCCTCTGCCCAGCTGGGCATCCATCTCACATGGTCCAAACACAATGTTCAGTAGTCCAACATGAGCAAGAACAGTAAATCAAAAAGCTTGAGTAAAGTAGTAACTATAAATTCTCTAAGTATTATAAATTATGTGTGGAGGTCTGTGGTTTGTCTGGGATTTTTTAGATCTCCTTGCTTTGTTTAGTCTTTCTCTTTTCTTGTGCGTCTTGATTAAAATTAATTTCCTGTTCTAGTTAGCATTTTCCTGGCTTCCTGATACATTTTGTGGACCTTGCTCCACTGCCACTTCCTGTTTTTTTACTTGCCCCTTGGTCACACCTGGCCTGTTTGCCTCAGCAGTTTGTCATTAGTCTCCAAGTTCATATTCCGCTTGCTTTGCTTTTCGTACTGTTTGTCATTGTCATTATTTCTTTATTGTTCCTACCTATTTTTTTTTTCTTTCTTTAAAGTTTCATCATCTGTTTGCATTTACATTCCTTTAAGTTTTTGGAGTCTCTGCTATGCAATGTTTTCTGATAAAACTTTTCCTTATATCTTTCACTAAAGGTCAGTGCCTGCATGCTGTCTGCATTTATATTTTTGGTGTACAGGTGAGGATTGAGTTAAAGAATATCCTCAGAATGTTTACAGCCTAAGAACATTGTTCCATTGATAATTGATAATGAAAAATGATCAGAAGTTGAAGCTAACTGGATGTACAGAGGGAGGGGGGTGACCAACCTTGTAAACCTTGTAACCTTGCGTATGTTTACCCTGCAAATATGTAATGCTCTCTACGTGCCACATAGGGTATATACTGTACTTAGAGCCCTTGACAATATGGGACTTTTCTGAATTTTTAAGATAGTAGTGACTTCAGACAGTTAATCCAAGTTCTTATTCCCCTCAGTATCCTACTTTCCTAGAATCCTAGGGTTTACGTCAAAATTTGATTCTCCTGTAAGATCCAATTCAAAGAGTTTTAGAGCCCCTCCAAAAAAAAAGACTAAATTTAATACCCAGAATAGTTTTGAATTGTTATCAAATCTATACAACTACACATTACATACAATTTATGTATATTCATGCTACTTTGAGGGAGAAAAAGTAACTCTTCTCACCTGCACTCTGGGCCCCCCGCCTGACACTCTGGATATGTAGCCCATGATGTATTTGGCTGCCACAGTCTTCCCTGCTCCGCTTTCTCCACTGAAAAACAGAAAAAAGTCTGAGCAGGTGATTTCTCAAACAAGTCATTCAAGTATCTTCAGTAACAGCATGAGAGAATTGACAGCAAACTGACACATCAAGTTAATTGATTAGTAGAGGTGTGACTTCTTGTCTGGTATTCAAATTATTTGGCTGAGGTGTAACATGTGAAAAAAGAATTCCTATTTAAATCATTATGACCACCTTTTACAAAAAAAAAATGATCATGAACATATACTGTACACTTTCAGATTTCTGAAAACATACAGGCTTTCTGTTTTATGTTTAGTTCACACGACTCACTTATGGAAACGTTTTTTCAGGTTATGTGCTTCAGCACTAAAATAAAACAACTGGTGCTACAATTGATTTTTTATGACAAGAGTTTTCTTTATATTACATCAATCTGACTTTTGATTTATTCTATATTGCATTGGCTGCAGTGATAAGGACAGTAATTCTGTTTTGTTTACATATTTGTCCTGTTTCCTCCACTTGTCTGTTTTCCTTGCTGCCTTTCACAGTGCCAGGGTCATACTTATTTTGATATATGTGGTTTGGAAGTAGATGACAGTGAAGTCGTTTTTTTCTGCCTGTGCCTTAAAGTAGAGTAAAGTTAGTGAAGCTGCTGTGAGAAGCACAGCTGTAGACTGTTAAGAGGCAGTCAGAGGAAGTCATGGGAAAGACTATTACACAGAAGTCTCTATATGGTTGTACCCATCCCCCTATGTAACTCCTTGAGCATTGTCTGGATTTCCTAAGTACACACTGAAATTGGAGGGGGGGGGGACTGCAAGAAAATTCTAGCTTTCCATGTTACTTTTAATCTCAAACCCCCTCCTGATTTCCATCGGAGAGCATTGTTTGTCTTCCTGCATGTTATTCTTTGAGCATCTATTTTAAGCTCAAGCTGCAGCAGGAGTCCCATTTCTCCCATTTTGAGCCCCCAAATCTGCAGGTCTCATTGTTGTGGAGCCCAAACACTGAAAGCATTGTGAACTTCTGCAGAGATTTATTGACCAAACAAGGTCATGAGTTACACAGTGCAATACAGAGGAAGGGAGTATTCAGTTTTGGCTTTCATAAATCATCACAAACATGAGTTATGCAACAGATGTACATCTATTTTTTCTAAGTCTAAGATGTACACTCAAAACTAAGTTCATATTTGATGGTCTTAAATCAAGTGAATCATTCACTGCATTCCCACATAACCAGTTGCAGTTGAATGTACAGTATGTTTAAGAAGATTCTTGAGATTTCATCAACTTCATAGTTTGAAAATTCAAAATAGATAAACATGATGGATGAAAAAAGTAAAAATGAATTTGTGCCCCACTGTTTTGTGAAGCTGTTTTACACTATTATACACTATTATAATCCATCAGATTTAGGTATATCAGGATATGGAAACAATACACAATATGAATGCAGACTTTATATAATACCCTGATGATCTGTGCATGCATGTTTAAAATAGCTACATAGTGAAGATGTAATCTGACATTTCATAGATGCTAATCCACCCTGTACAGTGTACAGTAAGACATTCTGTCCTGATCAGTCTGCCTGCTTATCTCACCTCCTTCAGTTTTTCTTTTACATAGTGTACATTTTAAAGTATAGTTTCTGCTGGCGTGCCAAAGAAGCCAGCAAGATTACACTATTGTACTTCAATCACAGCATCATATCTAGACTGCTATCTAGGCCCTTTCAAAAGCTGCACGATGCTTTAACACAACGTAAAATGATCAAATTTACTATGCATACTTCCTTGGAGCGAAAGGAAAAATTGAATACTACATCAGTGAAGCAAAGACTAAACAAAATCTGTAAAAAAAACAAATTGCAGTGTGTCACTGCCAAAGGACAACCAAGAGCTACTTTATGTCTGATTCCTAAAAATGAGCCTTTACAGAAGCAGATTTTCTATTATTTAGCTAAGCAAATCCAAATTTATCCAAAAACTGCAAATATTGATTGTGATTCAGACGTGTTTGAGTCAAAAGGTTCGACCAGGCCATGTTGTGCCATCAGAGGGCCACCGTTGAAACTAAGATTATTGTAATACAGAAGAAGTAGTTTTGCTAAACTGAGGCAAAAAAGGTGCACGTCCACAGAAGAAAGGGGAGAAATTTCTGGGATATCGCATCACATCGAGAGAGACACAGGCCAGTCGTTTGAGTAAACTCGAATCAGAGCCAGGTTATTTTGATCTTAACTGGGCTCCAGTTTTACCAGTTTCTGAGATATGTATTACTTCAACAAAAAAATGTAATGAACAAGAAAATGTGTAATTAGTAGATGTTTTCTGTGTTAGATCATAAAGACATCAGCAGTGTGAAGGTTCAACAACTCTACTGCTTCACATGGCAGTGATACAGCAGGGCTGCATGACAAAGCTTTGTTATCTAAACAATATATGGATCACTTTATTTTCTCCCTACAGACGCCTTTTTTTTTTTTTTTTTACAAATGATGTAGTTTGCTCTGTTGACACCTTCTTTATAAAAGGAAAGGAACAGACGTGTGGAAATGAGCTCATGGGCTATCGTAAAAAAAGAAAGGAAACCTGGCAATAACTCAGCCAAACACTGAAGATGTCTGCTTTTTGCAGGATTAGGTTTAAGGAGCTGCTGTATATGAGATATGTTGACTGAAAGAAAAAAAGAGAGACATTTAAGCCCACTTGCTCGTGTAAAACTGCCAACGAACTGAGGGATCATATATTTCTGACCCTGGTCTTAATTGAGCTGAGAACAGATGTGAACCAGCTGGATCTAAAATAAGAACAAGCTGAAGTTGAACTTTAGCAAAGTGTCATGAGTCTAGTATTTCTGAAAATCTTGATGGGGAGATGCCAATCCGACCACATCACCTGCTTCAGTCCAATCCTCCGATATCAGATCAAGATGGAAGGTCAGTTTTACCACATGCTGCGATAGGCAGCAAACAAACTGTAAAATGCAAAGTACTTTCTGCTCAAACATTATTTAAAAACTAGGCAACACATCGCCATATCTGCACCCTTAAATCTCGCAGGTCTCGAATCATCAACCACACATTCCCTGAGTCATTCTGAGAAAGAACCATTGCAAACACAGGCTGCTGCTGACCACTCTGCTTGACCAGCAGTTCATAGCAGCTTTTGTTTATTGAGACCGAGTTATTGAAACCACTGCCAAGCTTTTGTTTGCTGATTTAGTAGGTCACAAAATCCACCTCTGCACCTATACACTGGAAACTGAATGAGCAACTGCTGGCTGCCAAAACAATGGCCAAAAGTGCTGAAGCAGGTGTCATTCATCATGAGGTAAGCGCTACACTGACCGTGCTGCTCAGAGGACTGGACCAAAGAATAAAGCCTCACACATTTTCCCTGTAGCTTAAAAAAACACTCTCAAGCCATCACATAGGGCTTAAGAAGAACCTAACAAACCCCTTAAATCCATTGATTTTTATCCGACAACGTTGCAGGTGTTAATTTTAAACCAGGAAGTTGTTCTAAAATATTCAACAACATCTTCTTTGTTTCCATCTCACATCCTGAGTTACCACAGCCCTAAACCAGCTGTAGTTTGAGTGTTTTCTCATTTAGATATTATACAATTTGATGTTCCACAATCAAATTCAACTCATGTTAAAACCAATCGGATGGAAAAACAGCTAAGAAACCCAACGTTCTCCATTAGTCAGCTGTTTGTAACCAGGCGGTGGAACCTGTTAGGTCTGTTCTCCTGTTCCCCCGCCCATCCATTATCACAACTTGAACATCAGTTAATCTTTTTGATCGGACAGATCACGTTGCACAGAACATCATCTCCTGCCACGTTCACCGTCTCACATCAAGAACATCTGAAACAACTATGTGAAGGGTTAAAAGTTACAAAAAAGAAAATTGCTCTTGTGGGTGTTGGTGGATAATTTGGTTGTCGCATACTGAAAGCTCATGAAGTATGAAAATGGTAAAGTATGAAAGGATTTCTATTCAAAAGTCTTACCTGATGATGACACATTGGTTCTCACGGTCTATCATCATGTTTCTGTACATATTATCCGCCAGAGCATAGATGTGGGGAGGGTTCTCATACTGAGCCTAAAATAAAAGAATTAAATCAGTATCAATGTTCAGAATTTTACCCAAAAAAAAATCAGGGTTTAGTACATTACAGCTCCAGGGAAATCATGTATGTAATTTAAATCTGATGAAAGTAACAAGGCTTTTCTAGTGTGATTTCACATGTTCAACAGTTTTCAGTAGATGAAAAGGGCGGGACATCAGATCTGAACAGGTATCGTTGAGGTAAACAAAACATAAAAAAACAAAAGAAAATAACTACCCAACTGAATAAAATCTGCGCTAATATTGACCAAAAAAATGACCAAACCTGTGGCCCACAAAGCCTAGTCTTTGCTTTCATGGTTCGCCCCAAATATTTATGAAACAAGACTCAACTTTCCACTTCACTTTGAGCCAGCTAACTGAAAATATAAATGCAGCATAGTTGTGCACAAGCTGGGAAAGTCAACTGTTAAAATTGGCATGAATGAGATGGCGAGTTCTCACAGTCTGTCAGATTTTAAGAGCTTTTCAGTCTGTCCCTGGCTTAAAGAGACAAACCCACTCCCGACAGGCAGGCCAATAGAGGAGGCAAACTTGCACAGGCTGTTCTGTGAAGGTCCTGCCAAGCCTCCTCAATGGTAGAGTCAGGTTTCTGACGCTAACATCTGCAACAGCCAGCTGGAAAGCTCGAACCCCATCAGCTTTTTTCTTTCAGACAGTTCCGATCTTAAACCTCTATAAACAAATCAGAAGTCCCAAAAACTGCTTTATTTACAGGTAATATGGTGTCGCTGCTGGAATGTACTTACTGCACCCTGATACATCTCGATTTCCTTGTCTCCAAAATATGGCATCTGCTTGAAAGGATTGACGGAAATGAGCACGGGGCCAATGTACGTCTGTTGAAATAATTTGTTAAAGATCGTGCAGACAAATTAGGAAAGTGTGCAGCACTAAAATACAGAAATAAAAAGAAATGACAGAGAAATGATTGGGTCTTTGGCCTTTATGACATCAACAGTTCAGCAGTGGAGTCTCCGGGTGATCGGGCCTGAGCTTAAATAAGTGCTTACAAGTGACAGAAAATAGAACCTCCATGTAGTGCTGAGGTTTCATGCCCCAAAGACAAAACGCCGCTCAAGGCAAATAAAGCTGCTATTGTGGGTGGCCCACAGTGACCCGTGGCTTTTGGCAGGGAGACCTCCCAGTTACGGCTATTTTATTGACCCGAATCAAAGGACTTGACTCAGTGCCGTCAAACCTAAAAGTGCCAGCATTTGCTAAACTTCATAATCCTGCGCACTGCCAGCCGGGGATGGGGTTTATGCAATGAGCTGCTTTCAGAACACTCAAAGAAGTTATTCATTCATTCATTCATGGTACTGCACGTCATGAATGGCTTTCGTGTGTAGCCACAGCTGCATTTGAAAACTTAAACGTAGCATTTGTTCAGTGCACTGTAACAACGACAGCTTGCAGAACATAATTTGAAATCAACCCAAAAACTCTACTTGATCTGAGATGGCTCCAGTACTCAGAGTAAGACAGATGTCACATTTCTCCATTATGCAATCCACTACTACTCACACCTTTTTTTCACATTCGGCACCACAGTGAGACAATCTAACTTACGTCCGAGCTCACTGAAGGAGGTGGAGTTTAAGAACTGAGTGGGGGTATGCACAAAGAGGCTCTTTCCCCCTTGCTTATGGCAGAATGTCAGGGGGAATTTGTCACCTTCCAACACTGACTCACTGCTGCTATATCACAGTGGATGACCATTCAGCTGTTCTGGGAATAGAAGAGATGAGACAGGCCTAGCTATTCCTCACTGGGATGTGAATAGCAAATGTCAGCAAAGGATACAAAGATGTAGTCATCCATGTATCTCTTCTTGAGATTGTCCACAATGGCGTCCTCATTGATCTTGCTGAGCAGCACCATGTCATCCACTCCGCTGTGTTTGACATTGTGGCTCTGCCAGTGGTATCGGTAGTGCCCCCGGCTTCCCTGAAACAAAACACACACAACGTACAATTGTCAGTTCACTCAGAAAAAAAAACACAACGAGCAAATGTACAGTCTGACATCAGGGTCGCACAGAAGCTGCGATACATCTGTTGCTGCTTTTCAGCACACTCAGAACCTGAGGTGGGCGGTTTACTCAAACTGTTGAGCTGATCACACAAGCGGAAAGCCAAGGGAAAAGTGGTGAGTATTGAGGAATAATTCAAAGCTTGTACATTTCACTAAACCAGAACAACCCGAGCCATGTTTATTTTTCAAACAGTGCAAGTTCAGATTCCCAAAAGTACTTTGCGTTGTTTGTCCAAGTGATCCGACTTAACTTTTATCCACATCCTAATAATCTGGTTCCTCCCAAAACCCCCCTTTTTTTCTTTTAGCTGAGTGTGTCTCCGGACAACTGAGGTTATTCATCATCTGCTGTGAGCACAGTCAGCATCCTCTGGTTGCTGTTGACGAAGATCACAACGCACTGCGAGGAGGGAGTCTCTTTCTCCTGGATGAAGAAGCCACAGACATCATCCAGAACGTCGGTGAGTGCCAATGTGGATTAAAATTTTGTTTCCTCAGCCTTAATTGAGGATGTGTCATGAGAGGAAGAGGAGAAGCAGCGAGCAGTAAAGCAAAGGAAAGAGATGAATCATGCAGTGATACAATAACAGCTAAGTGGCTGAGCAGACGGGACTGTGCAGATGTTATCTGAAGCACTTCTCCCTACATTAACACAGGCTCAGAATGAGAGAGTGGTTTGAACTGCTGGGCTTCAATGTGTCAAACACACAGCAAAATGAAAAGGGCTCATGTAGAATGAGCTCATGCTTTCAATTCATAGGCAATTCATTTCTGATACAAGTTTTGGTAAAGAAATTAAATTATTGAACTACACAAGGCCACAATCACAGCCACTGCCTTTCAGCCAAGAGCAAAATGACTCATCCAATCACAGCTGACAGCGTATCAGTTGACACACTGTCCAGCGATAGGCTCTCAAATGGTTTTCCAGAGGCCTCTCAGCAATGCCACACAAACACGTTTGTTGCCCCGGGCAATCCGTGAGCCACATTTTGAATCAACACTTTTGTGTTAAGCTCATCATTACTTCAAATAATGGAAAGTATTAAACACAGGCTCTTTGAATTGGCACAACACCGAGTTGAAAATGTTAAAGAGAAAACAAACGGCTATTTTTTTATAGCAGATGAGACAAACACCTAACTTGACTTACCTTGTAAAATCAAGAACCATACTGTAACACAACACTATCAGAGTCATTGTGCTTTCAGTAATTAACTCCAAATTACTAAGTTAAGTAGGAGGTCCGAAAGCTTTTAATATCCTCCAGGGTGACTTTATTCTTAACAACAGCAAAATTAAAACCACTTTACAGACTCTGTTAGAGCATGGGAGATGGTGAGGAATGTTAACAGCTTTTCAGCCTAATTCAGTGGTTATTTTCCAGTAGGAGGGAAGAAGCATGTTGTTACTTGGCTGAGTCTCAGGGTGTACAATATGGAAAAGTTGTAACAACTTCTCCAGATGATCAAACTTGAACAACATGAAATATCGCATGCACTGTTAGCACAAATTCTCCTTTAAAGGCATTATATGAAATGAGAAAGTCCATGACAAATTGCAGCAGTTATTCTGAAACAACTTCCAGATACATGGCAAGAAAAGCCAGTAACTCACTACGCAAAAGAATTACATCCAACAATGTGAGGCTGCTCCTTCTGAGTAGGTCAATCTTGATCTGAGTTCACTTGGTCCTAAACTGAGTACCACTAATGTCCAAAATCAGCTCAACCAGAATCCTTAAGCTGCTGTCCTTTGTACTCAAGATGTTCTTTTTATTCTCCAACGGGGAAGCCAATGTAAAAAAACACATACTGGTCTGACCGCAAAGTGAAAATAATTGAACATGCTATATTTAACTTCTCTGTGAAGGAATGGAATAACAGGGTGTCGATTCAAGAAGGGAGGGGCACAACGTTCGAGATTTAGGGGGGTAAATGTCAAGTATTCTTTGGATTTATTGTTCATTTTTGATTGAATGTTTGTTAGAGGCAAGTGAACTAAGAGAACATTCTGACCCATTGCACTGAGAGAGACGGAGGGCGAAAAATATCCTCACAAAGGCATCTGGGAGGCTCCTGGAACAATCGCAGTTCTCAATTTATTGTAGCACGGAGGCTGTTTGGAGGGTGACTTCTCTGCCAGTGCTTTACTCTGTGCTGGGTTGTGGGTTTGAGGTGGGTTTGAAAACTGAAAATGCTGCCTTTTTCATTCCTATAAAAATGAAACTTCTACCCCAGTTTGGACCTGCAGCAAATAGCAGATGCTTGTAATCAAATTTCACAAATACCTAATGTACTTACAACACATTCAAATGCAATGGCTTTAAGCACTTTAATGTTTTTTTTATATATATAACCTTAATGATTTTTAGGAAGAAATCAAGACACATTGGCTCAAGAGTAGAATGCACAATGAACACAAGCAATGAACAACAACAATAATAAGTTACAGAAACATTATTATTGTAGTGAGTGGGTTAGTCAAAGCACTAAGATGCATTAAACAAACATTTGTCCTGTTACACAACAAACCGATTTCATTAAGCTAATTAAAAAAGGTGATTCAGAAGGTGTGGTCTCCAATTACACGCAATGAAATGTGGAACTGGCTGGATTTCCTTAGTTTTTTGGGTGCATCTTCCTCATTTTTGCCGTGTTGTCAGTTTCAGGATGTTTCATTGAGCTCGTTATCAAAGATAATAGATCGACAGCAAGTCTGTGGTGGAGTGGAAGTGTAAATACAGACAAGCACGAGCACAAACACAAGGGACATCTGGCACGATGGGAAGTCAATAGTAGCCATAACAACATCATCGCCATGGAACCACAGACCTCCCTCTAAGCTCAACAACATGGAGAAACAGTAGAGCAATATAATCAGAGCGGACTAAAACATGCAATAAGTGGGCCTATATGACATCACAGCAGCACCTAATTAAAGCAAAACTGCAGAGATGGACAGAAAAGAGTGCTGATCTGTTCCCTCTGAGCAAAACTGGATCACCCCAAACCAAAACAGAACCAGATCTTTTCCAAGAAGTTAATAAAAAGGAATTTCAACACCAGTCCTGATCCATAAGCCCGGGCTTTTCCCCTCATGCAAATACCATTACCATATATGGAGAGTGCTGAGCAGCTCTGGCTCTGCGTACAGGAAATGGCTGGGTTTGATTCAGTATCATAAGCGGCACTTTTCCCCTAAATTCTTCCTTTTTTTCCTTTTCCACACCAGGGAATGACATACAGCCCACCATGTGCTAGGACTATCTTTCTGCTCTGCCTTCTGAGTCAGACCTGGATACGAGCCATCTGAACTGTTCCTCTCCTCTCCAGTACAAAGAAACTAAAGTTTTTTTTAATCTGTGTTGCAATGAGATATAAAGCTGACAAGTGGAAGAGGTATATAAAACACAGACACTGACTTTTGGGGTTTTCTGACCTCAAACACCAGGAAAGTGTCACCTGGTTAGTAACCAGACCAAAAAAAAAAGAATTTCTATCTAAGAAAAGCTCTAGGATTAAATCTGACTTAAGCGCACAGCCTTTATACTTCAACAAAGCAGTAGAACATTTAAAAATGTACTTAGGGGAGATGCACCTGTGTTATGTCTGTAAAAAGTTATAGATTAGTGTGAACCACTAGGAAGAACCACTAGGAGGGATTGAGATGCAAGGAGAGGAATTCACAATTTGGAAAGTGGGATAAGTGGACAGAATTTTGTGAAACATATTTTCTAAGGGCTTTGTTTGCCCAGTATTGTATGTGTTGTAAACTTCGAGGCCAATGTAGCTTCAGATAAGCATTACCCATTATTACGATTTTGCTTTTTGGACAGTATATGGTTGTTTGCCGTGTGATGGACTGGTGAGTTGTCCACAGAGTATCCTGCCTCTCACTGGATGAAAATGGATATGAACGATTCAGTTTTTCGTCAAAAATCAGCCGGCCTTTGAAATCAGATACACCAGAGTGGAGTCATGCAGTCACACCACACATCATTTACAGTTAACAGTTCTCCTTCAGTGATGGCTACTGAAATTGCTTAGAGATGCTCAGCTTACCAGATGTGAGACAGTTCAAAAAGATCCCCGTGAAGTCTCTGAAAACAGCTGATGCACGCAAGCCCACAGTGTGGTGTGTAGATGCAGCCAGCGTGTAGTTTCAATCCCCCCGCTCGTGGTTTTGTGAGTTTGAGCCCATTCACTCCAAAGCGTTTCTCTGTACCCCACTGACAAAGTTTTTCCAAAGTATACCATGAGGTTTTCCCTTAAAGTTCAGAGCATTGAAACTGAATAAAAGTGTTTTACCTGCTTGTGACAGCCAGTACAGAACAATCAGCAATGAGTCAGCTTCATTTGGATTAAAAGTTACACATCTGTTACACAGTACACAGCACCCATCCCGACAAGAGCCTGAATGGCCATCAGCAGGTAATGAAAATTGGTGGATGGAAGAATGTTAATCAATACGTTGGAGACTGGCATTAATTGCTGATTGCAGTCACTAATTTCGTTTAAGTTTGAAATACTAATAACAGTCATATGACAACAAACATAGTGTACAAAGGTTTTTAAACCAGATCTCTAATCATCAGATTTCTGAGTTTCCTTGAATGCACGGACACCTGAAATTAAGCCACTGCTCACTGTTGTTTGACAGCCTATTTGCAGCCTATGAAATTGTAAAACGGAATTGAAATGCATAAAGGTCAACTCTTAGGAGCCATGGCATCAAAAACCATATTCAGACCCAGCATGGGGGTTGATGGTGATTTTCAGGCTCCTTTTCAGGATCCAAAACATCTGGAGTTGAATTTAAACAGAGCTTTGGAGGATACTACTCTAAACAGCATTTCCACCTGCTGTTTTTCGCCTACATTTGCACTTTGACTGGATGAAATCCAGTCAGAT